TTCACATTAATAACAGGAATTAAAAAACAAACTCACACGGAAACAACCAAGATTCAGAACATTATAAGGGAATACTTCTCAAAACTTTATGCTAATAAGTTTGAGAACTTGACAGAAATGGGACCTCTTCCTAGCAAACACTGACATGCCAAAACTAAACCAAGATGAGTTAAACTATCTTAACAGGCCCATATCAAGCATTGAAATAGAAACAGCAATAAGAGACCTCCCAGCTAAGAAAAGTCCAGGACCAGATGGTTTTACAGCGGAATTTTACAAGGCCTTCAAAGCAGAGCTCACACCAATTCTCCTCCAACTCTTCAATGAAATTGAAAGAGAAAGCTAACTACCGAACACATTCTATGAAGCCATCATATCCCTCATCCCAAAACCAGGCAGGGACTCATCAAAGAAAGAGAACTATAGACCCATTTCTTTGATGAACATTGATGCAAAACTTCTCAACAAAATTTTGGCCAACCGACTTCAACAATTCATCCAAAAAATCATACACCACGATCAAACAGGATTCATTTCAGGGATGCAAAGCTGGTTCAATATACGCAAATCAATTAATATTATTCATCACATCAACAGGAGCAAGAATAAGAACCACATGGTTATCTCAAGAGACGCAGAAAAAGCATTCGACAAGATCCAACACCCCTTTATGATGAAGGTTTTGGAAAAATTAGGAATCCATGGAACATTCCTTAATACAATAAAGGCTGTATATGACAAACCTACAGCCAGCATTATACTCAATGGTGAAAAACTAAAGCCATTTCCTCTTAACTCAGGAACAAGACAAGGATGCCCACTCTCTCCACTTCTCTTCAATCTAGTATTAGAATGCCTAGCTACAGCAATAAGACAAGATACAGATATAAAGGGGATCCAAATAGGGAAAGAAGAAATAAAACTCTCCCTCTTTGCAGATGACATGATCTTGTATTTAAAGAATCCCATAGACTCCACTCCCCAATTACTCAAGCTGATTCAAAACTTTGGCAAAGTAGCAGGTTATAAAATTAACCCCCAAAAATCAATGGCTTTTCTGTATGCCAACAATGAGAAAAGTGTGGCTGAAATTAGGAAAGCAACTCCATTTGTAATAGCCCCACAAAAAATAAAATACCTAGGAATTAACTAAAGAAGTGAAGGATCTCTATGATGAAAACTTTAAAATCTTGAAAAAGGAAATCAACACAGAACTTAAAAAATGGCAAAACCTCCCATGCTCCTGGATTGGAAAGATTAACATCGTGAAAATGGCAATACTTCCCAAGGCTATCTACAAATTCAACGCAATACCTATCAAAATTCCACCCTCATTCTTCAAGGAAATAGAAGAGGCAATCCAAAAATTCATATGGAACAATAAAAGACCCCGAATAGCAAAAACGCTCCTCAACAGAAAGAACACTGCTGGAGGAATATCAATACCAAATTTCAAACTCTACTATAAAGCCATAGTAATCAAAACAGCTTGGTATTGGCATAAGAACAGACCTCAGGACCAATGGAATAGAATCGAAAACCCAGAAATGAACCTACAGACCTATAGCCATCTAATCTTCGATAAGGGAGCTAAAACAATAGAATGGAAGACACACAGCCTCTTCAGTAAATGGTGCTGGCAAAACTGGTTAACTACATGTAGAAAACTAAAGCTAGATCCTTATATATCACCCTGCACCAGATTCAACTCCAAATGGATCAAAGACCTTGAACTCAAAGCAGACACTCTGAAAACATTACAGGATGGAATAGGAGAAACCCTAGGTCTCCTTGGCTCAGGCCGAAATTTTCTGAATAGAGACCCGGAAACACAACAAATCAAAGAAAGGTTGGACAAATGGGATTGCATAAAGTTGCAGAGCTTCTGCAGGGCAAATGACATAGCTAGCAAGATCAATAGAAAGCCCACGGATTGGGAGAAGATCTTTACTAGCCATACAACGGACAAGGGTCTCATATCTAAAATATACTTGGAACTCAAAAAATTAAACCACCCAACAACAAATCCTCAAAGAAACAACTGCCCAATAAGTAAGTGGGCGAAAGACTTAAAGAGAAGCTTCTCTGAAGAAGAAAGAAGGATGGCCAATAGACACATGAAGAAATGTTCAACATCCCTAGCCATAAAAGAAATGCAAATCAAAACAACATTGAGATATCACCTCACTCCAGTTAGAACAGCAAAAATCAAGAACTCTAACAACAACAGATGCTGGAGGGGATGTGGACAGAAAGGAACCTTACTTCATTGTTGGTGGGAATGTAAACTTGTTCAACCACTTTGGAAAGCAGTATGGAGGTTCCTCAAAAGACTTCACATAGAACTCCCCTATGACCCAGCAATCCCACTTTTGGGCATTTACCCTAATGTTTACAAAAAAGACCACACTAAAGCTACCAGCACAACTATGTTTATTGCAGCATTATTTACCATAGCTAAGATATGGAACCAACCCAGATGCCCCTCAGTAGATGAATGGATCAAGAAAATGTGGTATATATACACAATGGAATTCTATGCCTCCATCAGAAAGAATGACATTTCCCCATTTGTTAGTAAATGGAAAGGCTTGGAAAAAATTATATTAAGTGAAGTAAGCCAGGCCCAAAGAAACATAGGTCCCATGGTTTCCCTTATTTGCAATATCTAGTATATGTATGAGTCAAGCGGAAAAAGTCAGAGAATGTGATGTTAGGAAAACGAACCCTCAAATATGTATTTTAATGTTTTTGTTTCTTTCATGCATGTGTTTCTAACGCATTTATAAGATTATTTCTTTGTTGCTTTGTATGTCCCTCCCCCACAGTGTAACCCCCGCTTTCAGTATAACATGTGGAGGAGATGGGGACAAACAAGTCGTTTAAGGATTCAGGTGGACCTGTGGCAACAATGAGAAGTACAAAATGTCATGTCAAAACCAGCTTTACAATGTCGGTGGGGGGGGAGGGGGGTTTGATTGGGTGGGGGGGAGGCTGGGAAGGGAGGTGAAGGGTAAACAAAGGAGGAGGCTGCAATGCTTGATAAGAAATGTATGCATTATCCTGCCCATGTAATTGTAACCCCTCTGTACAGTATGTTCTCAAATAAAATAAAATAAAATTAAAAAAAAAACAAACTCAGAAGGAAAACAATTTCAGTGTACTTACAAATTCCCCTAAGTGCACACAGAACCTGAAGAAAGCATCCCTCTAAAAAGACTTCTAATTTCAAATATCTTTTCTTCCAATTGATTTCAAGCAATTGATGATTTCTTTGGCATTGCCTCTACCTTTCTTTGGAAATAAATTGAATCTTGTTTCTTTGGATGCTACCAGAAAGCTACTGTGAAGGTGAAAAATTATTGTACTGAGACTTTGGAGGCAGTGGCAAAAATCACAACCTCAGTGGGGCGCTGGTGTCTCAAGCCTGCAATCCTAGTTATTCAGGAGGTTGCGATCTGAAGATCAAGGTTCAAAGCCTGCGCAGGCAGATTTGAGAGTCCTTATCCCCATAAGCTACTAACACAACTAGCAGTGGAGCTGTGGCTCAAGTGGTAGAGCACCAGCCTTGAGCAAAAGCAGCTTAGAGACAGAGTCTAGCAGACCCTGAATTCAAGCCTCAAGACCAGCAAAAACAATAATAAACCAAAAAAAAACCAAACCCTAAAATAACAACAAAAAACCCACTAAAACACTACACCTCCCCAACACCAAATGCTGAAGAATCCTCTGCTAGAGGACTGGCAGCCTCTGCCTTGGGGTCTTCCTTGATTCCATTAAAATCCAGTGGTCCTTCTGCTAAAATGCTTGTAGATTTCTTGCTTTGAGATAGAGTTCCTTACCTTCTTCCAGCGTCGCTGCTCCTACACATGGAAAGGCCTTGAGATCCTTCCTAAAAGGCAAACTTAGGATCTAATATAGCATGTTCCTTCTTCCAGCCCCTGAAACTGCCCCCCCCCCACACCCCCTTACACACTATGGAACTGCAATCCCTGTAGAAGTTGGATAGAATCAGTTAAGTGGAGTTGTGGAGTTTAGTAAACACAGATCTGCCTAGTTTGTAAAGTCAAGCATTGTGTTTGTCAACGATAGTAAAACACAAAGCCCGAGTGGCAGTCACCCAGGCCTAGGCACTTGGACAGAGGGACTAGAGAAAACCAGCCTGAGGAAGTAAGGATGTTAGAAGCAGGGGGTGGGGGATTTGAGAAGGAGGAAGAAGGGAAGAGGGGAGGGAAGGAGTGGGAGGAGGGAGGAGGAGGGAGGGAAGGAGGGGGAGGTGAAAGAAGAGAAAGAGGGGGGAAAGAGCAGGGAGGGGGGAAGGAGGAGGAGGGTAGGGGGGGAGGAAAGAGAAGAGCAGGGGAGGGGAGAGAAGAGGGAAGGTGAAAGAGGAGGTAAGACAGGAAGGGGAGGGTAAAGAGGAGGGAGGGAAGGAGGGGGGGAAGTAAAAAGGGAGCTGGGGGGAGGGGACAAATCAGGAAGGGGGAGTGAAGGAGGGAAAGAGAGGAGTGGGTGGGGCGGGAGGGAGCGGGGAGGGGGGGCGGGGAGGGGGGGAGCGGGAGGGAGCCGGAGGGGGCGGGAGCCGGAGGGGGCGGGGAGGGGGGGGCGGGAGGGGGGGGCGGGAGGGAGCCGGAGGGGGCGGGAGGGGGCCGGAGGGGGCGGGAGGGAGCCGGAGGGGGCGGGGAGGGGGGGCGGGAGGGAGCCGGAGGGGGCGGGGAGGGGGGGGCGGGAGGGAGCCGGAGGGGGCGGGGAGGGGGGGGCGGGAGGGAGCCGGAGGGGGCGGGGAGGGGGGGGCGGGAGGGAGCCGGAGGGGGCGGGAGGGAGCCGGAGGGGGCGGGGAGGGAGCCGGAGGGGGCGGGAGCCGGAGGGGGCGGGAGCCGGAGGGGGCGGGAGCCGGAGGGGGCGGGGAGGGGGGGGCGGGGAGGGGAGCGGGAGGGAGCCGGAGGGGGCGGGGAGGAGCCGGAGGGGGCGGGGAGGGGCGGGAGGGGCGGAGGCCGCTGGAGCTCCGGTCAGCGCGGCGGCCCGCTCGGCCCGCGTGCTCCGGGGCCGCATGGCGTCGGCCCCGTCGCTTCTCGGGGCCCGCCCCCTGCTGCAGTTTCTGCGGCTGGTGGGGCAGCTCAAGGTGAGCGGGCGAGCGGGCCGGAGGCAGCCGGGGGCCGGGCGGGCGCTCAGGGGAGGCCGAGGCCTTCCGGGGCCTGGGGCTCCGCCGGCCCGGACCTGGGGCCGGGAGCTTGCAGGGGGCCGCGCGGCCCGCCGCAGGGCGGGGGCCGCGGGACCTCGGGCCCGGGGTCCGCCCGTGTACCCCGGCTCTCCCCCCGCACCCCCGCCCGCCCGGCCCGCAGCCGGTGGGGGCTGGTTCCCCTTGGGGTTATCTGGAGGGGCTAATCCCAGAGATGGCTCCCCTCCCCCGCCCGCCTCCCGTCCCGCCCTCCGCGTGGCCAGGCCGAGGCCTCGCAGCGTCCCCGCGCGAGGTCCCGGCGTCCCTCCGCTCCGCCCGGCCACCCCGGGGAAGCGCTTCGCTCTGGCTCCGCGGGACTCAGACCTCGTCGCGGGTCCAGGGTCACAGCCTGCACCCAGAACTTCTTTTTTAATTTGTGTAGGATAGAAAGGCAGAGGCCACAGCGATGGTAGTTAAGGAAAGCAGGGCATTGTGTTGTTCCCTCCCTCCTTCCCTTCCTTTTTCCAGTAAGACTAGGAAAGTCCTGCTATGTAACCTGGGCTGTGCTAGAGTTTAAGTCCTCCTGCCTCAGCGAACTAGTGCTGGATTTACAGGCATTCAACCCCCAGCCTTATATCCTTATTTCTAAAAGCCATGGATGGATAGACAGACAGACAGATAGATAGATAATGGGTAGGCCATAATTATGCTTCAGATAGACAGATAATAGATAATGGGTAGGCCATAATTATGTTTCAGTGTCAAGAGTTTTTCTATACTTGTAAATTACTTTATGCTGGTCCACTTTTTTCATTCTTTGAGCTCACTAGTTTGTTTCATTTCAGATGTTGATCCTTTCGGTTACTTTAGTAAAGCCTTCTGAAATCACGACAATGGATGTCTCTTGAAGAGCACAGCTTAGTTAAAACAGTTGTTATTTTAACCGTTTTCTTTTCGTATTTGTCAGAGAGTCCCACGGACAGGTTGGGTATACAGAAATGTGAAAAATCCAGAGAGTGTCTCGGATCACATGTACCGGATGGCAATTATGGCTATGGTCACCAAAGATAACCACCTTAACAAAGACCGGTGAGCTCTAAGGCTTTTGATGTCTGTGGGTGTACACCATTGTGTTTGAGGCTTCTTTCTTCTTAATAGTTTATGTGTCAAGAAATAGAATTTGAACCCAACCACACAGACTCGGGATGAGAGAAAGGGGAACTCGAGTTGATTGCTTGAGTTTTTGTGTTTTTGTTTTTTTTTTTTTATTGCCAGTCCTGGGGCTTGAACTCAGGACTTGGGTACTGTCCCTGAGCTTCTTTTGCTCAGGCCTAGCACTCTACCACTTGGCCTACTGCGACACTTCTGGCTTTCCACCACTTCTATGTTATTAGATTCTAAAATTCTTCTATTGTTTTATATGCTATTTACTTTTACCTAGGTTCTTTTGAGAATAGTAGTATCCATTTGCAAGGTGACATTTTGGAATTGTATATACAGGATGTAGTTGAGAAAGGGGCATCCTTTCCTTCAGTCAATGAACAAGTGTTTAAAATGCTTTTGGAGCATGGGAAGAGAACTTCAGTCACACAGTAATGAATTATAACAGATCAGAAATGACTTCTGTAAAAGTAAGTTTAGAGTAGAAAACTAGCAAGGTATTATAATAGGAGGGGCTATCACCTTGGCTTGGTTGGTTTCATGGAGGAGGAGGCACTTGAGTTGAGCTCCAAAGGGTTAATGCAGGTAAAGAAGTAGAGGTTCAATGAAAAGGGTAAAGCCCTGACAGGTAGGAAAATAAAGGAGTATGAGAAGGACATCAATTTAATTGCAGTTAAAGGTTTGTTAGGGAGCCTGGGAAGTTACTCAGCAAACAGTTCTGATTTGAGGAGATTTTTGGCAAACAACAAATGAAGTGAGAAAAAAGCAAATGCAGTGTTCCCTGCACCTCATGTATTGTGTTGAATAGTCATATTTTGGTTCAGAATTGATGTAGGCTGGTAGAATATAATTACTTTGGAAAATTTTGTATTAAAATGTTCTGTGAGGGTAGTAAAAATATATTACATAATTTCAAAATGGTATAGAAAAAATACCTTGTAATGAATATAATTCTGTGTAATTATTCGACATTTCTTGCCTGGTCAGATGTATACGCCTAGCCCTGGTTCACGATATGGCAGAATGCATCGTTGGGGACATAGCACCAGCAGATAACGTCCCCAAAGAAGAGAAACATAGGCGAGAAGAGGTCAGTGTGGATTGTTGACTCTGTAAAAGACCACTAAGAGAACCTGTTGGTTCATCAGACATATTTGTAGTAAAGGAGGTCCCACTTAGCCACCCTCAGTGCTGGTGTCTTAGGAATGAGAGTCAGTCAGAATATGTTTAGAGTTTTAAGGGCCTAGCTAGTGAATATGGAAATGGATCTTCTAAGATGATAGGCAATTAGCTGGGATGGCATAGAGTTTCAGACTCAATAGGTTTGGGTCATTGGCTAGGATAGGAGGGAAGGCCTTACAGAGAGATTTGAAGAGTAAGTTTACTGTTTTAGATGGTTTATAGCCTTACCTTTCCACAAGTGGAAATTTCCTGGAGTAAATAGAAAATTGGGCTTTGCTATTCTCAACCTTTCATACAAAATAAGAATGTATACCTTTTGAACTCAAGGACATACAGTTAGGTTAACATAAGGCTTCAGTTCTCACTAGTATGTGGATATACGTACACACACACACACACACACACACACACACACACACACACTCACATTCGCAAACATGGTGTTCATTATCTTAATGGAAATAAACAGGACATAAATTATTTGTAGAAATTCCACACTAGTTTTTTAGAGCTTAATCAAGAATATAATCATTATTATTGTTTGGTGAATTTTAAACGTAATCCTTTAACTTAGTTGTTGGAAGGTAAGTAAAGAAAAATTGATTTGCATGCTTTGTATATGTGTAGGTAATGATAAAATATTCATTGTCAGTGTAAGCTCTAAACTCAGAACCTAGTGCCAAAAAGGAAGACATTCATGTATGCATATATGTGCATATATGCCAGTCCTGAGGCTTGAATTCAGGGCCTGGGCTCTGTCCCTGAGCTTTTCTGTTTAAGGCTAGTGCTCTACCACTTAAGCCACAGATCCACTTCTGGCTGGGCTGATTTGAGATCCTGAGATCTCAGCCTCCTTAGCAGCTAGGATTATAGGCATAAGCCACCAGTGCCTGGCTTAGGAAAGACATTTTTGAAGCAGGTGATGAAAATTTAAGAAGGCTTTTGAAAAATAGTACTGGTTTCCAGTTCAGGGACTATTGTGAACTACTTTTATTGTAGGACTTAGAGGTTGATCCTAAACTGCTTAGTAAAAGTGTTTATTGTGGTAGTTTTACAGTATAGGTAGACTTAACAAGGTTCTCAGAGCTGATGGAGAATAGAATTCAGTAGGCAATAGTCTTTTTTTTCCCTCCTAGAGGCAAGAGGATCCACAAAGAAATTGAGTTTTAATTTAAAAGCTCCAACCTACCCTAAAATAGGATCAATCTTAAAGGAAACGTGAAGAATGCATTTCTCTTCCTGCAAAAATACAGGTCCAAACTAGGTTGGCCAGTATGATAGGAGAAAGGGAAGAAGTGTAGGAAATATTTTTGTATACGAATTAAACTGTTAGGAATCAAGAATTCCTAGGCTGAGTGGATGAATTAATGCCTTCTACAAGCAATGTAGATTTGAAGTTGCAGAAGGCAATTGGCACCTGAACCAGAGGAGGTGTGTCATAAAGGATGACATACAGAAAATAGAAGGTGTGGTAGGGGACAAATCATTCTGAGTTACCAGAGGATCATCAAAGACTTTAACATGAGATGACATGGAGAATTGTGCCTGAGTGGAAGAAGAAAAGACAGCCTACCCCTCTAGAGAGTGTGTGTTCCATAGAGAAGTAAGTCAGAGCCTTCTGGAGTAGAACCGCCATCAAGAATCTCCAGCCACTTCAGGTGAGGAAGACCTACCAGTGTTCAGACAGGAGCAGAATCCTGGCCAGGGTTGCCCCATGGATGGACCCAGAGAACTGAGAAACCTGCTGCTGTCCTTGTGGATGTGGTCAGATGTTGGCTAGTGTGAAAACCTTTCTGGCCTCATTAAGACTTCTGTCTGCTGCCTACTCCTTCTGATTCACAGAGGAATAAATGTCATAGGCAGGAGGGATGAGGGAAATGTCTTAAAGAACATCAAGTTCTTGGCCAAGAAGGCAAGGGCTTGGAAAGCACTGGTGCTCCGTTGCCTGTTCCTGCTGCTGGTCAGGATTTGGGAACAGATAGGAAGATCTGGCAGGTGAACAATGCTTTATGCAGATGATGTTGATGAATAAGACTCAGCTTTCTGAACCTTGCACTAAGATAATTAAACAGTATTTCTTGGCCTGAGGTAGACATACATAATGAGATCTGGGAAGAGTCATTTGCCCAGAGGCTAGCAGATACATCAGTTCCTTTAAACTGAAGGAAAAAAAGGAAGAAGAAAAATGCTTAATAAACTGGGTGATTGTCTTAGAAGACCACTATTAAAGATAAAGCAGAATATATAATGAGAGCATAAATGATAAATCCAAAGAAGGAAGCCAAAAGCAATGCTTGAGTCTGGCTCCCTTCCTAAACATGATCTGGTAAACTTTATTATAACCTGAACTGATCGATGTGCCTTACAGAATTAGAAGGCTGAGCCTAGAGACTTCAACATAGAAAAGGTGTAGATTATATGCCTTTGCAAAGGGAAAATATTAAAATGGAAGTCAGAGTCATTCCATGTATATATCTGTGTGTTAAAGTGGCTAAAGAGCCATAAGATAAGAGGAAAAAAAGGTGACATTATGATAGCAGGATGGAGAAAATGAAAATTACGATGAACATTTATAAAGATCTTATTTGTGCCAAGTTATAAGTACTTTATATATACATATATTTATATACACACACATTAATAATCACCACCACAATGCTATGAAGGTACTCTTTTATAAACAAATGAAAAGACAGCAGGACTAAGAGGTTAAGTAACTGGCCCTAGACTCTACAGCTAGTGAGTGCCAAGCCTGGCTTGAAAATCTGATCAGGCTTGAAAGTCTGCAGCTAACCATTACACTACTCAGTTCCATCAGGGCTGTGTGTGAATGATGGGTGCTGCATTTACAGGAGTGTAGCATCTAGCAGGGGTGGTGATGGTCCACTTCTGTTTTGTCTTGTTCAGACCATATGGAGATCTCTGTACTGGCAGCATCATTTAGAGCAGGGAAGTAATCCTTGTCAGAGCATAGCTTTTGTGTTTCTGTGCAGAGAGTTTCAGTTTTGTTACTTTTATACATGTCATTCAAACAAAAGGAATGGGTAACCTTGTGTTTCTAGAATAGTTTAGAGAAAAGTATCTTTATAGTGACACTTTTAACTTACCAAAATGCATAGTATTTTCTCAAGTAATTTGCTGAGAGAAAAATAAGGAATAGTTCAAATACAGAATCAGTTTCAAGCTACCAAAAGTGGTGTGAGGCTATAGCTCTGTAATTGAATAAGCTGTTCAAAACAAATGTTACTTGGAAGACAAGTCGTACATAAATTTGGTTAACTGTAAGTGGATGGAATCTGTAAAATTTTTATTCTTGTCCCTTTGGGGGCATGTGAACCTCTTATTTGGCTTTTGTAGACTAGTTGCCAACTTAGATAAATATAAACATAATGAAAATAACGTTATTTCAGGAAGCTATGAAACAGATAACCCAGCTTCTACCAGAGGACCTCAGAACAGAGCTCTATGAACTTTGGGAGGTAAGTACATATGTTAGGGAACTTTTTATTGGTACTGAATTTATATGGATCATTGATGTTTCAATTGGCTTGGACAGTCTGTCTCTAATTTACTGTTGTTTAACACACATTTTGCATATATTTCTAGTTCAAGTTCAAGAACCCATTTCAAGTTCCTGTAAAAAACTAGTATCTGGGATTACCTGGCATACCTGGCTGCTATTTTCTTGATTTTTATAAGAAGTCTGTATAAGATCTCACTACTACTACACTACCATACTATACTACTACTATACTATTCTGTTCATTTTGTTGTGCAATTAGTTTTTGGAACTTTCAAAAGGAAACTTGGTTCTAATCATGTTTTTTTTCAGTTTCTTGTTTTGTTTTTTAAATTGACATGTAAAATTATCTGTGGGTACTGGTGGTGCATGCCTGCTCTCCTGATTAGTGAGGATGCTGAGATTCAGGGGAGTATGGTGTGAAGCCAGCCTGAGCAGAAAAGGTAAAAATATACAGGAAAAGAAGAGCTGGGGCCATGCTTCAAGTGGTGGAGTTCCAGCCATGCACACAGGAAGACCTGAGTTCAAACCCAAGTGCCAGCAAAAAAAAAGTATTTATTTTGCATGTACAATATTTTGAAATATGTATATGTTGGAATGGCTCAGTTAATCTAATGAATATAAACATTACTTCATATAGCATTTTTTGTGATGAGAACAGATTGTTTTAGAAAAAACTGATTTTTTTTTAAATGTAGTGTTAGAAAAATACAGTGACATTTTTATTTTTAAATATTTCCATACTCTTTCCCCTTCCCCATTTTTTACCTGTGTTTTTATCTTTCTTTTAGCTCTAGAATTCTTTAATACTGAATTTTGGTTCTGTTTCAAAATTCTCATCCTGTGAGTCTCTGTCCTGGATGGTTGTCTCTGGAAGTCAGACTGAACTTTACTGTGTACACCCGGTGCTCATCCAGTATAGGTGTGGGCAGGATCTCCCCAGGGATTCTTAGTGACCACCTGTTGGCTATTTGAGGCTCTCTTAGTGTCAGTCCTTCATGCTCTCACTCTTCTGTGCTTTCTGCCAGACACACGCTGATCTCATGTCTGCCTTGAGGCTGTGGGTGTTTTTATACACTTACATCACTTACATAAAGTTTGGAGTTCGTGGGGATATCATGCTCCTTGGTGTCATTGAAAAGGGTACTCATGGGATTTTTGATTTCACTATTTCACTGTTAGTTTTTCCCTCTTTCTTTGTCTCCCTTTTTATCATCTATATATTTACCCAGGGCATAAACAAGGAAGTCCCTTTCGACTTTCCCTCTCATTCCTTTGCTTATTGTAGTTGACTTCATCCCTTCCCACATCTCCCTCATCTTCACCGCCATGACTGCAGAACAGACATCTGCTAGGTACAGAGTTACAGTCTTACAAACTGTAGGCCTTGCAGTCTCTTGCTTACGAGCGCCTTTTATTTCAGCCTTTTCTTCTCTCTTTCTGCAATATTCAGTGCTATCCTCAGAAAGTACTGGCAGTAATTTCTCCAAATGCCTTATCTCCTCATTGGAAAATAAAATTAGAGAATATCACCATTTTTTAAAAGGGAAAAATCTAAAAATTGTATTTCTTCTTGAAAAATTTACAAAGTTATTAGAATTTGCTATTAATTATGCTGTGTTTCCTAGTGGTCACGAAGCATTTTTCTCATTTTCATCTTTCAATAGAAAAGAACCCTTTAGATTGCTTTGCTTGGAGGTCCTTTGGTTAAATCATGAACTTGAATTTATTTAACAATACTATGACTGAGACATGTACTTAAATAATTTTTTTTTTTTTTTGGTCAGTCATGAAGCCTGAACTCTGGGCCTGGGTGCTGTCCGTCAGCTGTTCAGCTCAAGGCTAGTGCTCTACCACTTCTGGCTTTTTTTGCTTATGTGGTGCTGAGGAATTAAACCCAGGGCCTCATGCATGCAAGGCAAGCACTCTACCACTGAGCCACCTTCCCAGCCCTAAAATGTTATTTTTAAGTGCCTTTGAGATAAAGCAAAATATATATTAAGTTTCCTTTTTAATGATTTACCTTTGTCATGTTCAACAAATTGAAATTGTTGCCTTTATAAGAATAAGACATCTAATAAAAAATGAGAAGCCTTTAAAAGATTTTGTACCACATCACCCTACTAAGAAAGAATGGCAGGCTTATTATCAGAACACATTTAGGGTAGTATTACAAATGAGAACTTTGTAGGGAAAGCAGTTGGGAACCCATTAGTCTTAGAAGAATGATCCTTTATAGCATCGATTGGGACTTGTGGCTGTGGGAATTTGTCATGCTCTAAGACGCAGATTTCCTTTTCAGTTCTATACTTCTTCTTTTTTTTTTTTTGGTCGGTTGTGAGGCTTGAACTCTGGGCCTGGGCATTGTCCTTAAACTCTTCAGCTCAAGGCACTCACTCTACCAGTTGAGCCACAGTGCTACTTCTGGTTTTCTGGTAGATTACTGGAGATAAGAGTCTCACAGACTTTCCTGCCCTGGCTGGCTTTGAACTGTGATCCTCAGATCTGAGCTTTCTTAGTAGCTAGGATTGCAGGCGTGAGCCACCAGTGCCCAGCTAAGTTTGAAGTTCTTAACTGTGTCTCCAGTACTTATAACTGGAAGGATTTAATTAAATCCACACTGGGGGGGACGGTATAAGTCCCTAAGGGATTTCCAGGTAAAGTGGTAGCCAAAAGTAAGTGGTAAAGGTAGAAATTTGCATAAAGAGGAAAATGAAGTCTGATATTATATGAGAAGAGAAATATAACTTTAAGAAGCCTAAGATAAGAAATCATCTTAAAGTTAAAGGGTTTTCTCAGCTGGATTAAAGAATAATGGTACTGAAATGAATTAAATAGGATGAAAATAACTGGGATGTGTCTACAATGAACAAATGGGATTTACACCACACTGGGCAGGGTATGTGGCATGATGAGTGCATCTTTCTTGGTGGATTGCTGATGGGAAGCAGTGATATTATGTGAGTTCTCTGGAGGTTTTGTATTAAGAAATGTGACTCTAACTTAGGTACCAAAAATAGAAGTTTCCTGGAACCCCATCAGGTAGCCCTAATCATGTTGCTTCAATTGTTCCCTTTCTTAGGAGTATGAGACCCAATCTAGTGCAGAAGCTAGATTTGTAAAGCAGCTGGATCAGTGTGAGATGATCCTTCAGGCCTTTGAATATGAAGATCTTGAGAACAAACCTGGATGCCTCCAAGAATTCTATGATTCCACAGCAGGTACTCAAATGCTACTTTTTAATGTTAAAAACATTTATTAAATGCTCATAAATATATTTAACATTCCTAGTGTGACTGTAGATTTTTAAACAGTACTGTAATTTTATTTCCTGTTTAATTTCAAGGAAACTGCGGTGAGAGAGAAGACGGGAGGAAGGGACAGAAGCAGAGAGAGAAGAGGAAGAGGTTAGGGAGGTTGAAAAAAAGGAAGAGAAAGAGAGAGAGATTAACATCAAATGCTATTTTCAACAAAACTTGTAGTTCGGCTTATTCTTCTCATTCTTCTCAGTGTAGTAACTAATGGTGTGTTGGGCCCCTCTTCTAACCTTATCCTGTGAAACATCTAAAAAGAAAATGGTGGGATGGCTGGTGAGACATTGATGGTACTTAGAAGTATTGCTAAGAACATGGACACAGTGCTGCTAAGATAAGCACAGTGCTGGGACTGTATTCGTCTTCTTTCTCTACCACCTTCAAGCTTTGTGACCCTGTGTGTGCTTGAAACCTCATCTGAAAAATGGGGATCATAATTGTTTTTTTAAGAGACTCAAAAGAGATAATGTGTATGAAAGGGCCTTGTGATTTATGAACAATTTATACTTACAGGGTCATGGAGATGAAGGAAGAAGTAGAGGTTTAACATGGGAAATAGGCTGGGTGCTGGTAATCTCATGCCTATAATTCTAGGTTCTCAGATCTCAGAGAATTGAGATCTGAGGATTGAGGTTTGAAGCCAGCCTTCACAGGAAAAGTCCATGAGACTCTTATCTCCAATTAACTACTAAAATAGCTGGAATTGGAGCTGTGGCATAAAAGTTCAGGGACAGCAGCCAGGCCCAAATTTAAGCCCCAGGGCTGGCACAAAAAATAAACAAACAAATAAATAAATGGAAATCATCAGTGTAGCCCAGCCGTAGAGTCAAACTTCTTTGGTTGAATCCCAGTTCTGTAAAAAAAAAAAACACAAAAACTGTTTAATAAATCCAATGAATTACTTAGCCTCTCTGGACCTTATTAGTTTGTCTTTAAAGTGAAGCTAATAATAGCATCTACTTTATAGAGTTGTTTCAGGATATACGGGGTTATTTCAGAACTGTACCCATCACTATGTGTTAGTAATTGACTTCATTTTATAGTTACCAGAGTAAGGTGCAGAACATACTATAGGAGAGGTGGCTGTTTTTCTTGCTCCCTGGATTAAAATTCACTCCTCTTCTATGGGAACCTTTCGGGGTCAGCTCAGCCTCCATCTGCAATGACAGTTACTTAAGGAATGGCCTTTCTCTGACCTTCAAGACCCTCATATGGCCTCATCAGATACAGGAGAGTCCAGCTCATAGATAGGATTTGCATTACAATGAAGTTGATTCAGTTTGCCTTTTCTCTTTTTTCCATTCCACTTCCTGTGCTCCAAACAAGGCCTCATTATTTCTATGTTGGACTATTGCTATCATCTCTTAATTTGCCAACAGGCTTTCAAGTTTATTTTTTGTGTCTTAGTATCCTCTTTTACAGGTATAGGCATTATCACATCTATTTTCATTTTTCAGTGCTGGGGATCAATCCCAGGGCCTCAGACATGCTAGGCAAGAACTCTACCATTGAGCTACACCCACAACCCTAACATCTTTTATTTTTTTAACTTTGTGGTTTTTCTTCTCCCCACTCCCCACAATACTGAGATTCGAACACTTGACCTGGCAGTTTTGCTCACTGACTTATCACCTGAGCCACGCCTCCAACCCTATCTTCTTTCTCAAAAAACCCAAAAAACGCTTGTGTTTTCCTTCTTTCTAAAATAAAATATCCTGATATTTTGAGTGAACTTAAATATCCAATAGTCAAAAGCAACTCATCTCTCTGGTCTCCTTTTCTTACCTATCAAAGTAACTATTCCCTTCCTGCTTAATGTGATCTGCACTTGATCCAGAGCTTGCCATACTATAGTTCACCTACTGATGCTTCTCTCTGACTCTCTCCTTTTATTAGTTTCCATTACTATAACAAAATACCCAAAAAATGTATAATGGACTCATTGTTTTGCAGATCTTAGTCCATAACTGATTGATTCTGTTGCTCAGGGCCTATATAGTAGGAGCTCATGAAGCAGCAAAGCAGCTAGAGCATGATCAAAAAAATGTCTCCTGGAAGGCATGATTCGATAGGCTCCCTCTCTTAAAGCTTCCACTACCTTCTAATAACATCATTCTGGGTACCAAGGTTTTAGCATTGGAGGGGCAGGGGTTATTTCTGGTCTAGTGTATTGACATTCACTTGGTGGGGCTTAGGACATTGTGGAGGCACCAACAAGAGCATGGGAGACATGAGCCTCAACACCATGGTAAGAGCTGTGTGAGAGAAAAGGACCAGTGTCAGAGAGAGGGTTTCAAGGAAAGGCATAACCTAAGGAGAAGGTATGAATTAGATAGGAAAGGGAAGGGAATGATCAGAAAATAGGTTAGGGAATACATAAAGTATAATGTAGATTGAACAGTAAGCAACAAATACAACAGGCAAGAAGAGATGGGAAAGAGATCCTGGGTTATTGTAACGCCCCACTTTAGCTACCACTGGCCTATTGCAAGCTTAGAGCTTGGGTGAAGCCCAAAGTAGAAATCTAGAGAGAGGGAGGCAGGGACAACAGAACAGATAAGCCAGTTGAGGTGAAGGGGTGTTTGCAAGAGATGTTTGCACTCTTGTTGGCATCCTGGGACAATCCAGAACCCCTACTTGAGGTTTTACATGTAGGTGCTGCATTCCTTTTAATTTCAATTTTGGAATGAGCAGATTGATTTCGGCTCTCTGGGCTCTCACACCTGGGTTTTCCCATAATTCCTGGTAGGGACATTCAGGGACTGCCTAGTGCAGTTTCTTCTGGCTGTATCCAATTGATGGTTCTTTGTCTGATTTTTTATCCTTATACTTGGTGGCACCTGGGGTGAGGATAAAGTGATTTCCTTTGGCCCCTTCTCAGAACCTACAGTCTCCTGCTTTAGAATAAAGCATGGGTCAAATTACAGAATAGAGCCCCCGATTAATCTTGAGATTACGCTTGAAGAACTAAATGTCTTCTCTTTTCAACACAGAAATGTTTTTTTCTCCTTTTTTTCAGGAAAATTCAGTCACCCTGAGATAGTCCAGCTTGTTTCTGAACTTGAGACAGAAAGAAATGCGAACATAGCTGAGGCCACAAACAAGCCTTTCTCATAAGCGCTGCATTCCTGAAATGTTTTCTTTCTGTTTCATGGTACTGTTTTGCCATTGTTAGTCTGCTAATTTCTCCAGATATGAGTCTGTTTATTTTCAATTGCAACAGAACAGGAAGGGGTCATATGAAATACCATGGATAAAGACTAGACAGGAGAGTTCCTTTTTTTTATTATGAACTAAATAAATATAAAATACTTTTGAGTTTTGGAATATTTATTTCAAGTCTTAAATCATCTTACTCTAACTTAATAATATATATCCCAGAAGGCCAGGCTCACTGAAGGGTAGAAAATTTGAGTCTTTCCTTTTTTTTTTTGTCAGTTGTGGGGCTTGAACTCTGGAATTTTGCTTGTTTTTGAGAACAGATTTCTCTGCTGATAGAGTGAGGAAGGGAGGTCAGAAAAGAAACTGTGGGTAATGTATTCTCCAGATATTTTATCAGATGATCACTTTCTTGAATTAGATTTTGAATTCCATGGAGATTGCCTCTGGCTAGTGACTGTAGATTTCTGTTCCTGATAACCCTGCCCTCAAATCCTTGAGCATTTTGGGTAATAACCTGGGACATAAAATTTTAAATGCCATGTACCTTTCTCTTTGTATTTTTCCATCTGACTTACAGATTTGAAGGCCTTGTTTATAAAAACATTTATCAGCAGGGAAGAAATACTAATAGGAGGATTGCTGGAGTCACTGAGCCTTAGACAGATTATGTATCAACCTGACTTCTCCTCATTTTACTTTCATGGCCTAAGTATGCCTTGTATTCAGTGTACAACCATTGAATAATATGTAAAGGAATAAGATCGATGAAAACCTAGTTGGTATTTTGGTGTGGAGCAATGAGGCCTGTCCCTTTAATGTACCTGACGGTTTCTATTGGAAGAAAGGAAAGCATTTGAGGCTGGCCTGGTAGAAATTCTAGGCAGCGTTTCTTTGGAAACTCTATGCAGTATCCATGGATACCCAGTCTGCAGGAAGCAAGGTTCATGATCTCTTCAGAAGCAATACATACATGTGTACATACAGTTGCTTTGCATGGAAAGGAGAAAGAACATGATGTTTGATTATTTTTGGAGATACGTTAATAGGCTAACAACTCCATCTATGAATATTGTGGCATTATTCTTCCACTTGGCATGAGAACAGGTAAATAAAACAAACAGGTAAATAAAATAATTTCAATAAAGTTCAAGTCTTTATAACCAGAAGTTTTATTTTGAATGTCTTGCAATTTTGTAAATAGCTAAGAGTTCACAGAAAATTTGGAACTCTGACTGGGTCATTCTATATACTGATCCCTTAAATCTTATCTCAGTTGACCATATTCTGTGGTTCCAAACCTTGTTTCTGAGGTAATTTGGCTTTTATACACACACATGCACATACACACACACACACACACACACTAGTGCTATGAGTAAAATCTTTTAATAAAATAAAGACTAATAAGAGAAGTTAGTTATTGAATCCACTGGTAATGTCTACAAATATTTGAATATGACTTAAAATTTTTTTCCTTTTTGGAGTATATCTGCTACTTCTTGGAATTAGTCTCCTTCTAAATAGCAACTCCTATAATTATGATTCAGAGTAAATAATTATTCTTGGGTTGAACTCAACAAAAAAGAACTCCTTGTTACTTTTTTCCCTCCTGTGGATTGGCATTCCACCAGCTGTTATGTAATTTTCAATGCTCTTGTATTTTAAAAAAAATACTGATTCCTCTCAAAGCCTCTGTGGTGCTATATGCTCCAATATATGCTTTGATATTCTATACCAATTGCAAAGGTGGAATGCTTTGTGAAGAAGCAGCTTCCACCCTAGCGTATTTTACGTGCATAATTTCAGTCTTCCGATTTAAAGATGAGAAACGATGGTTTCTGAGGGACACTCAGTGCTGCAGTTTGGGTATGGCATGTGTGTCCTCTGCACAAAGCTCCCTCCTTTTCAGATTACCTGAGTAGCTATGACTCAATGTAGATTGGAGAAAGTTTTAGTATTATTTTAATATCCTAGAGTGGCTGAGGTTATAAATACTGTCATATCCTCTTGTCCTATTCAAATTAGAAGTTAATTTAAAATTACATCTGTAAACTTATATCCTTTACAAACAATCAATAACCCTGAGGACTTGAAGAAATAAAAAAAAATCAGTCAGCATTAAAATCAATTATTTTAATGACTTAAATAAACATACATAATTGATGTTGGTAAGGGGATCACAAGCAGTTTGGTGACGTTTGTAGTCACCTGCTGCTGGAGAGTTGAAAAGAACTCAGAGCCTCACCTGCTGAGATGAAGAACTGAATGGACTTTACTCAGTCTTCAAGGACATGCATCTTACCATGGAAGCCAAGCAAATAATAGTAGCTATATGATGGGAAATATATGTTGAATTACACAGACAAGTATTACAACTAATTGTGTTCCTGCTCCAGTGTGGACATTTTTTTTTTTTAAGATGACGGTCGATAAATACTGAAGGATGATGGCTAAATGGTACAACGTCAACACAAATACGCACAGAAATCACTTTAGGAGAATTTCTGGAGATGCTGTTTGAATAACAATATCAAGACCTCCATGTTCCCAGTGGGATTTTGGTCTTCGGATCAGGATATGCTCAGGCAGAGATGGGTGGGACAGTGGCCAACAGCCAGCTCATGGATGCAGCTGCAGGCTGGCTGCACCTAGCACTGCAGCTCCTCCTCTGCCTGCCGGGGGCCTCCCGAGGTGCTCTGGGAACTGGCATGGGCTGTAGAGTTGAGAACCTCCTCAAAACTGCCTCCGCTCTGGTTCGCTCCACCTACTTTCGTCTGAAACAGGTAGATAAGAATGCAACCAGTTTATTATATGTATTTTTAACAGAAAGGTCAAAAACATGATTACTTTCAAATTTAGAAACTTATTAACCTTCAAAGCAAGTAAAGGAGGTAAAGAAATTAGTTTCCTTTAGCTAGTGCTAGAATTTCACTCATACTTGAGTTCTGAGATCAGATTCCAATGAAGTTTATACAGTTTTAGCAGTGTTCTCTTTATTTTTTGTACATTAAGATCCTAATACCTTCAAGAGTTATAATCAGACCTGAGTGGTCCCACTCACCAGAGAACTGATCGATCAAAGGGGGATTGGATTTTAGATATAGCTGTCCCCAAATTTATAAACATTTTTATGAGAGTTGAACTTAATTTTTTTACTTTCAACCTAGCAGGACAATTTTGAATTTCTGACAAATGTCCTTTGACAAAACGTCATGGCTAAATGAAACATGCTTTCTTTTCTCTGCTTCTAGAGTTGGCGTCTGAGCACTAGAAAGAAGGCAAATCATTGGAGTAAGAATATCCTTGTGTGTGTGTGTGTGTGTGTGTGTGCGCGCGCGCGCACGCATGCACTTTCAGTTGACTAACAAGAAGCATGAAACATGAATTTACATTTTAAAAAATATATGTTAAGTATAGCCAGGCACTACTATCTAATGCCTGTAATCCTGGCTACTTAGGAGGCTGAAATTGTGAGGATCATTGTTTCAGGACCCTGAGGTAGAAAAGGTTAACATCCCGTTCTCATTGGAGAGTTGAATCTTTGGTGGCACAAGCCTGTTATTCTGGCTAGGGAAAGCCTAACGTGGAAGAGTGTTACCCAGGCACACACCTAAGCAAGAAGCAAGATTCTACCTCGAACAACCAGCAAAATCAGGTTAGAATTGAAGCTCTGCAGTATGAGCATCTGTCTAGTAAGTACTAGGTCTTGAATTCCAAACTCCAGTACCACCAAAGAGGAAAGAAAAAGAATGTGTATGTGTATCTGTATATGTATTCACACATATGCATGTATATACACATACATAGATGTATCTATATGTACATGCACATATACATGTATTTTGAAAGATTCTTCACTAAATGCATTTCAGAATATTTAATGGTCCAAAATGTTCAATACAAGTCTTATCCATGTACACATTGGCCTTTTAGTAGCCACAATGTGGAAAAACACTCAATTTGGCACTAAGGGAAAGGAAGATATAGAAAGTAAAATGTTGCTATTGCTGAGCTGAGGTCACTTAGTGCCCTGTCACTGTCACCACCAAGGTCGCTCCCAGCCACATACACGCACACCATGGAGAAAGGCATCCGCAGTGTCTGGAAAACAACCAGATTTTAAAAATATCTCATTAAAAAACAAAACCCCTCAAAATCCAAAAACAGTTCTAATTGTCATGAAGTCCCTTTCTGCCACTTAAAAATGGTTGATGTGTCTCCCCCCTGCATTAAAAATTCCTTTCTTTTTTCTTTGTTGAGACAGCATCTCACTAGGTAGCCTAGGATTTTCTCAAATTCACAGTCCTCCTGCCTTAGCTGCCCACGTGCTGGGATTCTAGATGTGTGATCGTGTACTCTCAGCTAGAAAACTTTTTCTGAACTGCATGTTTGGTCGCAGATACTCAAATCAGCTGCTATAAAAAGCAGCCACAGACAGCACTGCACCATGTGAAGGAACGTGGTGATGTTTCCATATGACTTAAAGTCTGGACAGTGGCATGTGAATTTCACTTTTTTTCTTTCTTTTTGGCAGTGGTAGGGTTTGAACCCAGAGCCTCACACTTGTTAGGCTGGTGCTTGACTACTTGAGCCATGCCTCTAGCCCTGATTTTTACTGATTATTTTGGAGATTGAATCTATAGATTTTTTCTCCTTGGGCTGGCATTGAGTCACACTGTTTGAGATCTCAGCTTCCCAAGTAACTAGGGTTACAGGTATGAGTCACTAGCACACGGCTTGCAATTTCAAATGTCATAAACTATTGTTCTTGGTGTTTTTTTTTTCTTCTCCCAGCCATTACAAATATAGCTTACAGGTACATCAGAAGTATGCGACCAGCTGCATCTGACCCGTACCTTTAGTTTGTGGACCTCTACAAAGAGCAGTGACCCTTTTCATCTGAGCACTGAGAAGAGGCAGAGGGAATAGGGATGCTTTTAACTATGGGACTTTTCTAATTCTTTCCAAGATAAAAGGTTAAACTAATTCAGTATTGTCAAATGCAAAATTATATTTGTTTGCCTCTTTTATAAAAAAAATTCCACACCATGTAATACTAGATGTTTTCTTTGGGGCTTGCTTTCTTCTACTTCTTGATTTTCTCAAGTCAAAATGATAAAATAGAGATGTTTGTAAGAAGTCAGTTTTTGTAACCCCTTTGTACAGTATTTTCACAATAAAAAACTTACTAATAAAAAGATTGTCAGTTTGGCACAGAGGGGTGAACACAGGGACTTCCTGACAATGGGAATTTACTGACTACACACAGTAATACTTTAGGTGAGGACTGCAATACTTTGTTGAAGCAAAGACATGAACAATCAGCCTCTCCAGCACTATTCTCTTCATAATGGCTCTGCATTGAAGAATTTGTCATTTTTGTCACCAAAATTATAATTGTTCCTTAAAGAAAATTTCATTCCAACTGTCAAGTTGGCCTTCTTAATCTCTCACAATAAAATAGATGGAAAAAGGAAACAAAAGGAATAATGTATCTTGCTTATTGTTTTTAAAGATTTCAATTCATACCATAGAATATATTGTCAAAAAGTAGACGCACTAAAAATACTACCTGCTTGAGGTGGATGAAGAATAGTTGGCAAGGATAAAGCTGCTCATGATTCACTGGAATATGGATGAACATACTAATGGTGGTTTCACAGATTCTGGGTGTGCAAATCTGATGATATGTTTTGGGTGACACAGTGTACTTGTTGACCATACAGGTCACAGCAGAAGAGGTGTTATCAAGTAATACATAGCCAGGATGTCAGCAGGATTAAATTTTATACAATTATGATGAACTGAAAAGTGTTTCATAAAACATCAAACTGTAAATTACTGAATCGGTATAAATGCGACCTTGTACATGTCAGATTGCAGATGTCAGAAGTAGGCCTTTATAGTAGAACATTTTTCTTCGTATACATAAGTATGTTTATGAGTTCCTGTCTATGTGAGTGAAAAATGGGACACAGAGATCATCAAGGTCTTCAACTCAATCTTACCAATTAATGATTTATTCCCCCAGCAGGACACAGCCCCAAGACCCTTAAGTGAAGAATGTTGTAGTCATCTTGGAGGTTTATAACACAAAAGTAAACTACAGAAAACTATATAAAGAAAAGTGAAGCATAGCAAATGTTTAGTCTCAGATGGGGTAGGAAGGAATAAGAAATGTTAACTATTGAGGACATGGGAAGCTTTACATATAGCGTGATTATCAGTTATTCTCCAGTGCCTGAATGGGTAGGCAAAGATGAATTTGGCATTGGCTGTGAGATAGAAGTGTGTGGGATGGACAACCATAAAACAGAATCTGCTTTCAGGAGGTCTTGGCACAAGCCAGATTCTGGTGGTCTATTCCCATGAGGAGAGCATGGTGAGAGGCAAAGTGTATGCATGAGAGGCAGAGCATAGATCAAACACTTACATCACATGTGAACCATGGGCTTACCAGAGTTGCATAAAAGCAAATGAAAATAAGCGGAGTTTTATTCTTCTGTTGCTTCTCTGTATTTCCTTCTTCTAAAGAAAACCTAAAAAGTACAACTTCTCCTCTGTCAGAACTTCTCTGAGGAACAACAGGTGCTATCCTCTCTGGGTTGAATATGGCTGAAAACTAAGAACTGAGAAACTGATGTCTGCAATGTTGGCCTTTTGTTGTGATACTGGATGTTCTAGGCAAGAGATAAATGCTCACAACAGTAAATGTTCCACCCTTTACTAGGGTGAATTCACGGCTTCCACTAGTCCCAGTGCATTCAGTAGTAGCAGTGCTAACAAGTGGAGTATCGATACTACACAGGTTGAAACCGATGATGAATGAAGCTAATGAAGACATAGGAAAACCTGGCAATAATTTCATCCTTGTCCCTCAACACCTGATCACAGGCCAAATAGAGAAGAAGACCATGTGGAAGACGCTCCCCTAAGTAAAAGAACTTCCAGGTCACACTCACTAAAAGCATTTGGGAGCTGAAGTGAGGAATAACTTGGCACATTGCTGCACACTCCTCAGCAGCACACATGAGGGCTGTGTGATCAGTGTGTGCACACATGGCTGGTCTTGATCTGATTGAAGATCACATGTTTGTAATTTTTCAGGTAATAGTAGAATAAATGGATTTTAGTGATGGTACCAACATGCATTGTTTAAATAGTAACTTTCAAAAATAATCTTAATAATTTCAATAACTTTTCCCAAGGTTATTATTACCTTTTAAATCTACACTGATTTTACTTTTTATTCGTTTTCTTCTCTGTAGACTAACTTACCTGTGCTTAAACACAAAAATCTGTTGAATTAAAAAAACAAAACCTACCACAGAATGGGCATACTTTCATTTTATCTCCCATGGGCCCATGAAATGGATTACCATAAAATAATGCATGTGTGACTCAGCTTCATTTTCCTCTCCCTGACAGCCAACCACACTGTGCTCAGCATGTGAACTTCAGGGAGTGGAGGGGTAGGGCTGGCCATGGTAACACATGTGATCAGATTTTTGTTGCTGGTCCATATTCAAACAAGACCCATTACAACAATGAGATTACAAGTCATTATGTCGAAAACTGAACTTTACAACTTTGGCAGGGAAGGGGGTTGGGAGGGTGGGGGCTGCCGGGGGAGGGAGGGAAGTGGAGATGGGAAGGGATGGGAAGGGGAAACAAAGGAGGAGGCAACAATGTTTGATAAGAAAAGTACTCATTATCTTGCCCAAGTAATTGTAACCCCTCTATATGGTATTATCACACACACACACAAAAGAGGAACTGAGATATTCTGGAACCTTCCAGATTCACTCACTTGCTACTTTCAGACATATACCTTTACTTCTCTATGTAGTTTCTCACTTTGAGGGGGAGGGATAGCATTAAGAGATTAAGTGAACACAAACCCAGTTCCCCTTCGTTTGCAGTTAACCTCTGAGTGATTTATTTAGACAAGTCAAAGTATACAGTCACACTGGTGAACACTTTTGTTTTAATCTAGAGATTCCTATGAGAAGAAAAACGTTTGACTTTATGCTTAGCTACCTCAGCTGCATAGAATGCTGGTGGCCCTGTCTTACCTAGGGAACTAATGGCAGCTGTGACTAAGCTTTCCTGATGAAATGGACTCAGTCACATAAAATTAACTTTGTCTGTACCTTAAGGCTTGTGACAGTTGTCTCAACCCTCTCCTCAAATGATTTGAAAGTAGGAGAATTCCTAAAATAACAAAAAGAGAGAGAGATAGAGAAAGAGAGGTCAGCTCTAAAGACCTTGCGTCTTAGCAACCATGCTGTTTTGGTTTTCTGCTCCAGAGCTAGCTGTCATCTTGCTACCTATACCAAACATGTTTTAAAAAATGCATTTCACTTCTGCTCCAGAAATCAGAACCTGAGATTGAATATTTCTAAGTAAAATGGTTAGACACGCAACTGGACTAAACAACAAGAGGAAATGACTTGACTGTGACACTCCATAGTGCATTTACTAGTTAATTGTTTCTATCACCACATTCCTAATCTTGACTCAGTCTTTTGGTAAAGAATAGAATCTGTCTGAGGCATGCCATATTTGAGTATTTGTATTTTGAATTTTATTTATTTCAGTAAATGTCAGACAAGACAGAAATAGCTCAAAGGGAAAAAGATCATAAGGTTTTTATTACCATGCCTTAAAAAGTAATTATTTTGATAACTTACATAAAGTGGTCTTTCTAAAACTTAATGCATTCATTATTTTAAGTTGAAGTATACCCATCACCTAATGCCTGATCAAAATGATGTTGATAGAATGTATTGTTTTCCCCCTTAAACAGGAATCATCTATTTTCTTACTACTTGGACTTCACAGCCTATTGGCATTTTATTTGCATTTCATGCATTGTGTTTTATAACCTACATGACATCTTGTTGCTTTAAGAGTAAATATTTCTCAGTTGTCAGTGACTGCATTTATCCACATTTCAAATTAATGTCATCATTTCCTTTGAAAATGATATCACTAAGTTGAAAGAAATAGGAATTGAACTAGAAAAATGTATACTACATCTTGTATCTGTTAAATCTTCCAATAATTGCCATGCTTTTCAGGTCATTATTTGCATTGTCATTATTTTCATTCAACTCAATGTTATTGTGTTTGAGAAACCACTCTCTAGTCTACCCTGAGTAAAGAAAAAGTAAAATAAGAGGAATGGACCAACGAAACTGCATATAGAAGCATAACTATAAAAATACAAGCTTGGCCATATGGCGTGGGTTAAAGCATGACTTTAATATTATCAAGAGGTAATTGCCATAGAGAATTTTTTTTTTACTCAATTCGGCTTGATTGGGAATTGGGCTCTGAAACTACAACATACCAAATGGCCAAAAATATCCCTGCCATTTAGGCTGCAGGATTAACGATGGTGAGTTCTGAGTACGCAGGCATGACATCACAGCTGCAGGTGACTCAAACACCAGTCAAACTAGTTCTGATTATTCATGAAATTATACTCAAATGATTCAAAAGCATAAAGCTGAAGCACATCACTCCCAAGTCAGGCTTTATTTGACTGTGTCTGCTCACTCACACAACAGCTACTAGTTACACTGCCCCTAGGGGGCAGATAGTTAAGCCTAATGGTTCATGGGTATATGTTAGATATGAGAACTAGTTTCCTTCTCAAAGTCAACTTCAGGAAGACATTTGATCTAAAAACCACTAGATGGATTCCTATTCACAGAACAAGAACCAAGCCACTATTTTCCAAACCTTCTTCGGACACTTAGATTTAAAATTTGATAATAAAGAAGCTCAGAGTATGTCCATATGCAGTCAATGGTAGGGGGAGCAAATTATTGGGAGATGAGCTAAGCAATCTTGAATCTGTATCCCCTATTTATCACCAAAGAGCCAAACAATGTGGTTAAAGTTCCTAATCAACTAATTAACCAAATAACCACAGAGTACAAGAGATTTCAGCAGACATAATAGAATAGGCATTCTTGTAACTAAATTATGTTAAGAATGCATGTTGCAGAACAGAGAAAAATACTTAATCAGATTTAATCAGACCATACCCAACTATAAACTATTAGTATTGCAAATGACTCTAGAAAGAATTTGATTTACATGATCTCAAACTGCTTGCAGTAACTAAACTCTTTCCACATGTATTCAAATCACAAAGTATAAAATAAAGCAGGCATAAGACATATACTTGTGTCTGAACTGGGAGATGGTCCCAGAGGCTTAAGCTAGCCTCCTATCCCAGCAGTGTCAACCATTCCATTGGTGATGAAATCACAAATGTATTTTCACTTTGGCAAGCGTGCTGGGTATCTTTCAAGCCCTGTGCTAAGTGCTTCAGACTTAGCCTCTTAGCATCTACATCAAGTGGGTCTTATTTCTTGCAATGTACAGAAAGAGAAGTGGCAGTTGAGATAAATCACTTGTCTCTGATCACACAGGAGGATAAGCCAGTGTGTCTGGTCAAATGAATCATTACATTCTGTTAAGACTTTCTTCCTGAAGATGATCAGAAACACCATGGGGCAGAACATGGCACATTAGCAATTTCTTCTCACAGAAAGTAGGATAGGGGAGAGAAGCTCACAAATAAACACAATAAAGTAATATTTCATATACATCTTGCATTAAAAGTATGTAAAAGATTTTGTACACATTACCTCATGGCAGGCATACTTATGGAATGGCGAATGGAGTACCTTCAGGGCACAAACAGATTAAAGGGGGGAAAAAGAAGATAGCAAATTTAAGTACATAAAAATCTCTTGATTTACAGTTCTAAAATATCAGTTTCTGACATCTAAACTATTTTCTGCTCACCCAACCAAGATGATTATTTGTTTTCCTTGGGCATGGGAGGGGTTGGGCATGGTCAACTTCCAAAGGATCTGAAGACAGAGCAGGTGGTCCACAGTCACATACTATTGTATTTCCTGAGAATATGTGGTGTCCCCCTCTGGTCAGCCCAGTGGCCCACAGACATCATCTCCAAGTCCAACGTGTGTCTCACTCCTTTCTGATCAGAAAGGCAGCCAGGCACAAAGGGTAGCACCCAGGAAGTACAGCCTAGCAAGTGGAAGCTATTCCTTCCATGGTAGAGCAACTGACCTTTGGAATGTAGGAAGTATTTGTTCAAAGAAGCATATGCAACTAACACAAGTCACACAGCCCAACATGAAGAAAGCTCTTCCTCACTCATTCGGGCTTGATTGTCAAGAACACATAGCATAAATGTAAATGTTCTCGAGAATTTTGAGAAATGTATCCTCTTCATTGTAGAACAGCAGGCTCACCACCTCTCTACTTGCCTGCTGTTTTTCCACTGTGTCCCAATGAAGGATCAGGCAGGGCATAGGGAAGAAGCAAGGAGTCAATTTTCCTGGCCTGGTGTTTGCTTTCCTATCCCACTTTTCAAATTGGTCCCTGCTTTCTCTAATCCCCCAAAGCTAAAAGATCATGGATCAAATTGGCCATCCTCTCCTAATAATACCCACTGATACTTGGCAGCATTTTACCCAAACGAAGTAAGAAAAGGACAAAGAAACTCAAAGGTCACTAGTCTTATGCAAGACACTATATATAGAAATTACACTCACAAGATATTGTTAAAGGAAATCCACCATTACAAATACATTCATCTAATTGCCAACACATTTTTAGGGGAAAAAATTTGAAGTTCATAATAAGATTCTAGGTAGTTTAATCCAGACATTGGCAAACTTCGCAACACATGCATTTCCCCAAACGTTCTTCCAACTCCAGAAACATCAACACACTTCAAAGAGATTCTGAGAAATTCAGAAACTAGAGAAATGAAGTTTCTGTTTCTCACCTTCACTGTGTAGAAGTTTAGAACAAAAACAAAACCCACACTACTCTTGATTTCCACATGGTTTCCAAGGATCTAAGGATCTTGCCGATGAAGAAACGATGAAGAAAGAGATTTCTAAGAGATTTCTTGACAAGTGAGGTTGGTAGACAGGGTTCAGAAATTAAATATGTGCTTAAATAAGCTCAAACATAACAGCTATCTTATAATGAATTCCTTGCCTCCATTTACATTCTCTGAAATATAGTCCAGTGTTTTTGCGGGTGGTTGTGTGAAGGAAAGCAGGGAGGAGTGTGAGCCACAGATCTGCCCACACAGCCACAGGCACACAACCACACAGCCATACAACCATGAGGAGCTTACCCAATAGAGTGAGACCTGCAGCCAGGCAGCATGGGAAAGAAGAGCAGGGGCAGAGTTAGCATACAAGATTCAAAGAAATGACCATCCTGCCCCTTGTCCCCTTTCAAGAGCTCAAAAGGACAGATCAACTGGCTCCATTCACCCCTCTTTTTTGAGAACATACTTGGCCCCCTGAATCTACGAGTTGCTGGCTGGTTCTAGGATCCCCTATGGATTCTAAAACCTGTGGATGCTAAAGTCTTTATGTAGCTATCTAGTGTGCTATTTATGTATAACCTGCACACCTACTTTAAACCATGTCTAAATTACATAGACTATCCAACATAAGGTAAATATTACATAAATTTTATATCACATTGTATAGGGAATAAAGCAGCATACATAAAAATCTGTACACAATCAATACACATAAAAATTTTTAAAAATATTTTTAACCCACAGTTGATTGGATTTATGGATGTAGAACTCACGTATGTGGCTGGCCAACTATACTGACTAATTTGGCTTTGAGAAGTTTTTAGTAATGTATTATAATTTTTGCTTCTAATCATTTCCCCATGTTTATAGCAATATTCAGACTCTAATTAAACATTTGGCTCCTCCAGATAGCTCATCCCTACTGGATCATAATCTGACAAATTTGCTATGAATTACAGAGAAGATTCAGAAAACTCTGATAGCTTGTATTTCTTCAGTGTACCCTGCATTTAATGTGGCTTCACTGCATTTCATGGTTGAACATTTTGGTGAGGTAATGCATATTACCAATGCTATTCCACAGATGGCGAAAGAGACCAAGGGATGATGCCACAACTATTCCCAGGTGACATCTCATGGCCGTCAGGTTTAGATGAGAAGCTTACTTTAAGAAACAGAGCCTGATTTTTTAATAAAATATGTAAATTGATGATGCTTTTTATTCTGTTATTTAAAAGGCCTGCATTGAAGGTTTGTAATTTTTATTCATTTAGAAGTATTTTAACGAAGAAAGTATTGTTTTTCTTCTAAGGAATCTAATGATTATCTGATCATCTTTTTGGAAAGGCTCAGAATTTTATTCTCAAATGTTCCAAAGAAATGTATAGGACAATTAATACAAAACATAGGATAACTTGATGCTTTACATCAAAGAAGGATTTAAAGTATAACATCTGTGCTAAATTTTCATCTTCCCACTGCCATTTTATAAATCAGCATGCTAATTAGAGCAAAATGTCAAAACATAATAATTTTTTTCATTTAGGAGTCTACTAAATTGAAAGCAATTTAAAAATAACTTGTTTGAGATGAATTTAAAACTAAAAATTATTTGTAACAGTGCTTGTCTTCAGGGAATTGTCACAGACACAAATGTTAGAAAGTATAGTTTGGGATAAAAATAAAAATATGTTTCTGAATTATTTCAGCTCCACAGAATAATTCAGAACTGAATTTGAAAGTTTAGGGACACAGGTTACATATTTAAGTGAAAATGTGAAATGTGAAATGTCCACCACAGCTTTGTATATTTGATGCTTGGTCCACAACTAGTGACTCTATTTTGGGAGGTGGTAGAAACTTTAGGAAGTGGAGACTAGCTGGAGAAAGCAAGTGATTAGGAGCATGACTCTGAAGGTTATACCAGGTCCTCAGTCCCTCTCCCTCTGCTTCCTGTATACCATCAGATGAACAATCTGTCATCCGCTCCCACCGCCATGATGCTCTGTTCACCATTGGCGCTCAATTAAGCGCTAATGAATTGAGCACTGAACATTCTGTAAACTTTATCCCAAATAAAGCATCCCTCCTTTTAAATTGTTCTAAGTAGTACTTCAGCAGGGAAATGAAAAGTGTTGCTGCTACAGAAAATTGGTACCATTGAAGTGAGGTCGTTGCTGTGACTCAACCTCACAATGTAGTTACTAACTTCTTTGTTTATGGGGGGGGGGCGCAATCTGGGAAAGTTTGAAACTATGGGATAGATTTGCCCTAGAATGTTATAAATACTAGAATGATAATAGAAATGAGGACATTAGAGAATATTTCATGAAGTTTCAGATGGGAATGATGACTGTACTAAAAATTGAACTAGATACTGGCTTACCAAGGCTATCTGTATTTTGTTTGTGTCTTGAGACTGTGAGAGGCTGCCTTTAAAAGTAACAGTCTGATTTTTTTCTAGTTATTCTATTATTCCTTCCTTTTGGACTGGGAGTATTTATTCTGTCATCATTGTGTCCTGGAAGTATGTGACTTTCATTTTGATTTTACAGGGGTTCATAACCTTGAGTTTCAGAAGAGGCTTCTGACTTGGATTTTTGAACAATGTTGGAACTGTTCAGATTTTGGGAACTCTGGGAGATGGACTAAATGCATTTCGCATTATGATGAGATGGACAAGTACCTTTGGGAGCCAGGAATGGGATGTTAAAGTTTGAATATGGAAATATCCTCTACAGGCTATTTTGGGAAGTGGTAAAAATTTTAGGAGCTGGGGCCAACCAGAGGAAGTAGGTTACTAAAAGGCATGTCCTTGAGATCCTTAGTTCCTTTCTCTGTTTCTGCTTCTTTTTATTTTTAACTTTTTGTGCCAGTCCTGGAGCTTGAACTCAGGGACTCGGTACTTCCCCGAGATTCTTTGGCTCAAGGCTTAGTGCTCTACTAATTGAGCCACAAGGCCACTTCTGGCCTTTTCTGGCCAGTCCTGGCTGTCTTCAAACTGTGGCCCTCAGATCTCAGCCTCCTGAGTAGCTAGGATTACAGGCGTGAGACTGCTCCTTGTCTACCTCAAGATGAGTCATCCCTTCCACTATCATATCTGCTTTACCAGAAGCCCAGAATCGATGGAGCCAGGGATTATGACTGAGCCCTGAAATGGTGAGCAAAATAAATCCTTTTCCCCTTTAAGGTATTTTGTTCAAGTGTTCTGTTACAGCAACGCAAACAATAACAAGTGTGTTGTATATTCTACGGAGAACATTAATGAAAAGTTTAAAACTTGAAGAAAATGAGCTTATCCCATTTGTGTGAAAACAAAACAATGTTAAATCAGGAGAAATGACAACTAATACAGCCTGGACAGTATCTTGAAATAATGTGTGAATGTGAATACACCATCTAATTGCATATCTGTAACATAGTCTTCATTCTTCACTCTTTAAAAAACCAATGACTGAAGCCTTAATAAAGTAGAGCAACCTCTGGATAATGGGCACTTCCTAATTTCTTTCATGTGGGTCACCTTATAATGGAGATAATCACTTAATAAAGATAAAAACTAACATTCATTCAAAATGTGATACATGCCAGGGTCTCTTTGACCACTTTTGTAGTAACTCAATGACATTTTTTTAGATGTCAGAACTGAATTCAGGGTTTCACTTAAGCAAAACACGTGCTAGATCAGGGTCATACATACCCAGCTCACTGTTGTTACTCTTATTTCTGTTTTATAAACAAGAACCAAGGTACAGATGATATGTTTCATTTATCCTCTTAACCTGCCCTCTTGAAGCCCAGTTTCCTAGGAGCTAGTTTCAAAGCCAGGTTTTCTGGAAGCAAGTTTCTAGGAGCAGATTCCTAGAGTACTACCACCAAAGCCCCACTAAGGAAAAACCACAGAGAGGTATATTGAATGAGCTTCAGAGGTAGCTGGAAGGGGTCCTTACAGATGGAGAAATTCTTCTGGGAGGCAGTATTATATGATAATCTCAGTGTTCAAGTGAAAAATTTAAGCTATATGTACAGAAAATTTTATAAACATAGCAAATTATAATTCCTCAGATATCAACCAGTAATATGGTTTTTCCTATTGTTGTTTGTTTTCTCCTTTCTTCCTTACTTTTTCCTTCCTTCTTTCTCCTTCCCTCCCTCCCTCCTTTCCTTCCTATCTTCCTTCCTCACTCTTTCTTTCTTTTTTGGGCCAGTACTAACTAGGGCTTGAATTCAGGGCCTTTGGGTTCTTGCTTGGCTTTTGTTTTGCTCAAGACTAGTGCTCTACCACTTCAGCTATACCTCCACTTCTGGCTTTTTGTTTGTTAATAGGAAATAAGTTTCTAGGTTTCATCTGCCCTGGATGACTTTGAACCAGGAGCCTCAGATCTCAGCATCCTGAATAGCTGGGATCACAGGTGTGTATTATTGGCACCAGCTTGGTCTTTCCTATAGGAAGGGACTGCTTAGTAAATTTATGTAAGTGATTTAATGCCAGTGATATGACTTGCAAGTTTCCTTGTAATCAAATTAGGAGTAACTAATAATTTACAAGGTTAACATCATCATAATTTCTCTAAAAAAATCAATTGCTGTGATAACACTGTATTAGTAAAAATGAAAATAAAGCAATGCACTTATATTGATGCATGTCCTTAACTGTAAAAGTCTTTTGAGGGATATCAACCAACTTCAAAATAAGTTAACATTTTTAAACAAGCAAAGATATGAGAGTAAAAACTAAACAGGATAACTTCACTATATAAAAACTAAAATGGCAATAAAATATTTCTGTTATCTACAGTGAAGATATCTGGTTGAAAATTACTTTGTGTTCATGGTAGTTTTATGCAATAGTGAAATGCTGAAGATAACTATAATGTGGAAGATACTTATTTAAAAGATTTGCAAACACGATATACAGGATTGGGTCATTAAAAATGAAGATGTAAGCTGGGCACCGGTGGCTCATGTCTGTAATCCTACCTACTTAGAAGACTGAGATCTGAGGATCATGGTTCAAAGCCAACCCACGCAGGAAAGTCCATGAGACGTTTATCTCCAATAAACCACTCAGAAAACCAGAAGTGGCATGTGGTTAAAGCTGTAGAGCGCTTGCCATGAACTGAAGAGTGCAGGGACAGAGCCCAAGACCAGAGTTCAAGCCCCACGACTAACCAAAAAAAAAGTTGTAAAAAAAAGAACTATTTGCAATAAATAAATTGCTAAATAAATAAATTTCTAAAGAAGAAATGAGTAGAAGGAAAACCCCAATGGTGTCTTTTTAAAATGAAATGTAAGTGTTTTTGTATTTAGCACAGAAAAAACAACAGATAATTGTATTAAAAAAATGTAACCTAGAAGAGTTTACCACAGCATATTCCACTGAATACATATATTACTTTATCCTTTAAACCAAGCTAAAAACCAGATGCCAGTGGCTCATGTCTGTAATCTTAGCTACTGAAGAGACTGAGATTTTTTTCCACTGAACCATCAGAAAATCCAAAAAGGCACAAAGTGGTATAGTGCTAGCCTTGAGCATAAGAGCTCAGAGGCAGCACCCAGGCCTTGAGTTCAAGCCCCACCACCACCACCACCCAAAGCAAACAAATAAACAAAAAACCACCAAGACTAAAAAGATCAGAATATGCTGCTTTTGTTAAAAATCCTCTTCATCCTTGATCTACTTTAACTAGTGGAAAGGATACTTTTCGGAATAGGCCCCTTGGCTGACCAAGCAGAAAATGTCTTAATATAATCTTTTAGGTTTGGCAGCAATTAATACCATTTTTAGCCACCAAAGACCAGCCAATCATGGGCAGTGCTCCTTTGACAGGATTCTGTGGGTCTTTCCCATATACCTCATGTCTCCAAACTTCTTGCTGATGGCTGTCCCAACATTGCTGAAAGCTGCAGTTGCCTTCTGACCTGCATGACTCAGGGTTTCGTGTGTTTTCTTGTAGCTAGAAGAAATAGAGAACCATGGTAAGCAATACTGTCCAAGTAAACATTCATCTTCCTTCTTTCACCTCTTCTTTCTTTGGAAATTACCTTTTCTAAACAGACTTAGGAAGAAAAATGAATGATTTATAGAAATCACTGCATGGAGATGACAGGCGAATGACTATTGGTCAGAAAGAGAGTCAGGACATTAAATCTGAAGAATTTACATACATAATCCCAGACATGAATATGTAGAGCTTCATCACAAATAATGGAACTGAGAAGACAGCATTTTTGTTTTGACTCTATTTTTTTTCTTGAAAATATTTATCAAGTTTGTATCTTGGTATTTATAACGCTATCCACACTTAATCTCCTATCTTCACTATCTTGAATAGCTCCCAAAGACTGCTGAATAAAGTCCAAATCCTGCATCTAATATTCTAGGCTGTCTATAATTTAGCCATAGTTCACACATTCAGCCTCATTTCCTACTGTGATCCCATGCATACCTTGCTCTTGATACTCATTAAACAGATCTCATAGATTTCCTACCTCTGTGTTTCTATCATAATACTAATTCCACATGGAGTAATCTCTATCCATCCTACCTCTTGAATTTCTTCTTGGACTGAGCTTGAATATTCCATTCTTATGAAAATTCTCTGAAGTATCTTTCAGTTTCCCTTCCTCTAAATTTTCACAGCACTTTATCAGAACTTCTCGTCCAAGCATGCTCACCCAGGCCTTCTGGTATGCTTGTTATTATTATTTATTATTAAAATACTATTTATTGCCTTTAAGTAACCGCACAAAGGAGTTGTCATTCAACAAAACAACTTACGAATATAATGCATCTTGATCAATGTTACTAATTTGAATTTTTTCACTCAACCTTCTGAACCTACACTTTCCTCATTTTTCTTAATCTTGTACGATAGGCATTACATTTTAGATTGCATTGTTCCCAATCTTCTTCTCTTCATCTACTTCCCTCCCCTTGATCTCAACCTGTTCCTTTCAAATACCTATTTCCTGGCATTTATTTGGCTGACCTTTTGATTTAGCCTTTCTGAGGAACTACCCTATTTGAGTTCTCCCCTGAAGCTACCATATTTCAGTTAATACATTTGTGTATACTTGCATACCACCCTAAGTATTTAGTTTGTAAACTAATTCCCACTTCCACATATGAGAGAATGGATGTAACCTTTGTTTCTCTGGGCCTGACTTGCTTCACGTAACACAGCTTTTGCCAGGTCCTTCCAATTTTTTTTGCAAATAATGTAATATCAATGTTTTTAAAGGTATGTAGTAATGGTACAAACAGACATTTGCAAATGATAGCTGTGTCTACCAAAAGTAACCATACGTTTTGTTATTAATTTTGTTAAAAGGAAGTAGAAAGAGTACAAATACAACTAGTTACTTAACTTGTAATTTTAGTGTTTACAGCTGGGAATAATAAGGACACATAATAATATAGTGACAGTTAAAAAAACACTTTAAAAAAGTAATATAGTGACTTTGTTTATATCCTGTGGTCTCACTACAAAGACTGTCACTACTCAAGGGCAAGCAAGTCATTCATCTTTGTGCCTCCATCATCTGGCAGAATGCAGGAGAAACTCCATGAATAACTAGAATGAATGAATGGATGAGACCAAAAAGATGATCCTCTGACTCCAAGTGGGAGTAATGACATCAGAAGAAAAGAAGTGTAGAAGATTATAGGTAGAATGCATAGACTTGACAAGTGACTATAAATGACAAATAAGAAGATAAAAATCATTGTCCTCCAGCAATTCCACTTTTGGGCGTTTACCCAAATGATCAAACAAGGTCATACCAAAGCTACCAACACAACCATGTTTATCGCAGCATTACTTACCACAGCTAAGATATGGAACCAACCCAGATGCCCCTCAGTCAATGAATGGATCAAGAAAATGTGAGATATACATACATACATATATACATATATATATATGAATTCTATGCCTCCATCAGAAAGAATGACATTGCCTCTGGGAAATGACATTGCCCCATTTGTTAGGAAATGGAAAGACTTGGAAAAAATTATATTGAGTAAAATAAGCCAGGCCCAAAGAAACATAGGTCCCATGGTTTCCCTTGTTTGCAGTGACTAGTACATGTCTAGGACAAGCAGAGAAGGTCAAAGGCCATGTACATACGACCACATGAGATGTTAAGCAAAATGTACCCCAAGACAGGGACACAAGAGGTTTTTTTTTTCTTTCTTGCTAGTGTTTTTAACGTATTTACAATGCACTATGTGATTCTTTTGTTTCTTTTGTAGGTTCTTTCCCCATGGTATAACCCCTGTTTTCACTGGATTTGCTGCCTGTGTTCTGCATCTTATATATACATTTTTGTAATTTGGGGAGGGGAAGGGATATTGCAGAACACTTAAATGGGGATGCTAGCTGATTCATTGTGATGATAAGATGTACAGGACACTATACTCAAAACAAATGTTACAATGTCGGGGTTGGGGGTCGGGATGAGTTGGGGAGGCGGGGAGGAAGGGATGGTGAGGGAAAATAAAGGAGGGGATGACAATGCTCGCTGTGAAATGCACTCATTACCATATTCTGTAACCCCTCTTTACAACATTTTTACAATAAAAAATTCAAAAAAATCATTGTCCTGTAGCTTTGAACATGATGATAGGAAGGATTGTGATGCTATCCATCTGGACAAGAAATTTCTAAGAGTTCATGAATAAAGTCAAGGATCAAGGATCACAGATATATAGCCCAAAGAATAAAAAGCAATGAGCAAAAATTTGGAAAGATTTTAAAAATAGATTCATCTTTATGATATACATACTATTTTCTTCCACTTTATGGTGCCCCGAGGTTCATTGCCTCAAATCCTCCTGAAGCCTATACCAGTTTCATGAAACGATTTCATATCACATGCAATCAGCTATGAAGGAACTTCCTTCCCTGAAACTCCTTTCCTTTCCTACAGTCCTACAGTCAGTCACTCAGTCTTAAGTATACTATCAGACCCTGGCAAATGCATTAATACACACACATTCCTTGGCCTTCCCAAGATCTGAAATCACTTTAATGATAGGCTATCTTGTTAGGCTCTTTTTGTTAACAGGACCAAGTGAACTTATACCATAAAACACCATATATTATTTATTCACACCATGCCTGGTTTTCAGTTCATATAAAATATATATTATCTATATCATATGACCAAAATTAAATACACAAAATTAAATACACACACCTAACTTGCTGTTTATAAAGGGAAGTTAGCAAAGCTTTAAATGTTAAAGCTGAGAAGCCATCAGATGATAATGAGGCATGATTATGAAATGCCATGTGCTGAGAATTCTTCACAAGGGACAAGTTATTCAACAGGTCCCCTAGCAGCATAGCAGCATCCAGAACATTTCAATCAATGAAGCTCACTGTCTTTAAAAATGTGTGGTTCTAGCCTTAAAAATAGAGGATTTATTTACAAAAAATTATTTACAAAAAAAAAAATTCCTATATTCCTATCCTAGTTACATTTCTAAGATAGTGACAAAAGTATTCACAAAGTAGCCATTGGTTTAGGAGAGCAGTTCTAGAAAAGTGCATTGAAAAGTGAAATCAGTGCAGGTAGAAGTGAGCAAAGCACAGCAGAGATGAAATGTATTCATACCATATGGCCTGAGGTTTGGAATTAGGCTCCCTTCTTTGCTCCAAATCCATCTCCCTTTTTACCTTCCCCAAACATAAAGACAACAGCAAAAAAAAAAAAACCAAGAAAGCGAAGGCATTTGTGTATGTTTTTAAATTCTCTCAAGGCTAGATATATAAAAGACTGTCAAGAACAAGCATGACAACAAACCCTGCACACAGATGCTGCCCTGACCTGCTTCTTTATTCTTGGACTCTTTCTAGAAAGATCATGTGAGTTAGCCATGTCATTATTCCTATATATTGGGTCAGGTCCTATTCCAGTTTGAATCCAATTGCAGAGTAGAATATGCCCAAATCTTCATTAACATATCATAGACTTTCTTTTCTTTATACATCAAACTAACTAGGTCATGATGGCTTAATCAGAATGCAAAGTATTGCCGCTGTGAATCATGCACATCTAGTGCTTTGAAATTCTATCCAACTAACCTGGCCACAGCTCATCATTCCCTCATATCCAAATAGATATTCTTTTTTTTTTTTTTTTTTTGGAGATTTATTTATTTATATTTATTTTTTTGGGGGGGGTCCAGTTGTGGGGCCTGAGGGGCATTGTCGCTCAGCTCTTCAGCTCAAGGCTAGTTCTCTACCACTTGAGCCACAGTGCCACTTCCGGGTTTTGGGATTTTTCTTTTCGCTGATGTGGTGCTGGGGAATCGAACCCAGGGCCTCATGCATGCAAGGCACGCACTCTACCACTGAGCCACCTTCCCAGCCCCCCAAATAGATATTCTTAAAAAAATTTTTTTATTGTAAAGATACTGTACAGAGTGTTTACAGTTACATGAGTGAGGCAATGAGTACATTTCCTATTGAGTATTGTTCTTTTATCATGAGAAGTATAAATCTCATCTTGGAATGGAAGTTATAAACACTAACAGAGCCAGAATGCATATCATTCACAGAGATAAAGATTTTGTTCTCAAGGCTACGAAGGTAGCTCAGTGGTAGAAAGCTAGCTAGCTTTGAGCTGAAGAGCCGAGGGACAATGCCCAGGCCCAGAGTTCAGGACCCACAACCGACAAAAAAAAAAGACTTTGTTCTCACGCCTCTCAAGATAGGATTAAGACCCCCCTCTTTCCTTTCCCCACTTTCAGGGGGGAAAAAGGGAGAAAGATCCTTTCTTGAATTTATGTGATTGATAGACTTACTCAAGAAAACAGATTGATTCTTCCCTACTAGCAAAAAGTAGTTCACTGAGTCTTCATTTCTATTACATAGGAATGGGTATGGTATCAGTTCAAGGATGCAGCTAAGCCTCAATTTCAACCCAAACAATCAAGTGTTTAGTCCACAGGCCTAATCACAACTACTCTCACTTCAATAACATCACTAACAGTCACCAAGCAGGCCAAGCAAAGACTTCAGAGTCATCTTTGATTTCTCATCATCCACTTCCAGGCCACTTCCAGGAAGTTCTGTGAGACTGACTTCCAAATTCTACCCTATCTGTCCACAACTCTCCCTCACATCCTCACCTACCTGAAATAGAACACTTATCACCTAAGTGATTTTCCAGTTTCTACTACTCATACCTCTCCACAATGCATTGCACAAAGTAACCAGAGTGATCTTTTGAAACGTCAGTCAGAAATAATCACTTCCAGTAGCGTTGAAAGCTCTGGGAATAAAATTCTCACTAAGGACCCCCAGAGGCTGAGACCTCATTCCCTTGACTAATTTCTCCACACAAGAGATTTTATAAGCTAATTCTCACCTCAGGCTCTTTGAGCAACTTTCCCTCAGTTGGAAAGCTCTCTCCCAGATCATTCATAGTTTTTTGACCTTATGGATTTATTAGAATGTAACCCCTAGGAAATTATGCATCCATATTTATGAAGAACAGTGTGCAATGCGTTGCAGGAAATACTTCAGGATTTACGTGGTACATAAGGCAAAGGCATGTGTAGAAAATTCGAGTTGTGCTCACTCACAGAAAGGCCAAGTCTTATGAAGAGACATGGACGGCACAGACTTCCAAAAGCATTTTCTGTTCCTCAGTGGTGAAAACCAAGGTGCCCAGTTCATTTCTCTACACTTGGCAAGACACAATTCGGAATCATAAAGATCACTAATGTGACAGACTTCTATTGCTCCAGAATGAAGTTTCCCTCGGCTTCATCACTTCACCCATCTAGATATTCCCTAGATATTCTTTCTTGCCACTGAAGCCTCAGCTAAGCCACCCACAAGAGAATTTCTGTGTCTGGGGCTGGATCTCAGAAGCTTTGACCCTCTCTGGCACATCACACTATGCTGTTGTCACTTGCAAGAGGGCTAGGAAGTTGGCTCAGTGGTAGATCGCTTGCCTTGCATGCCTGAGGCCCTGGGTTTGATTCCTCAGCACCACATAAGCAAAAAGTAAAACGCCAGAAGTGGCGCTGTGGCTCAAGTAGTAGAGTGCTAGCCTTGAGCTGAAGAGCTGAGGGACAGCACTCAGGACCAGAGTTCAGGCCCCACGACTGGACCCCCCAAAAAAAAGAACTTGCAAGAATATCTTCCTGTCTCCATTGCATTTCTTACTTCCTGTTCTTTCCTCTTTTAATAGGGGATCATGTAGGAATCTTGTCCACCTTTGTTGAATCCTATTATCCTTCTGGACTAGATTTACCCCAATATAAATAATGCCCAATAATAGGCACTCGTTAAGGCTTCTTGATAAATGGCTGGGTAGGATCTCTTTATGGCTTTCTGGTCCCTGTGTGTGAAGAATAACTGAGGCCAAAGCATCAGTTCAGAGCCTCTGTACCTGCCTTCTAGCTCAACACCACTGATGAACTGGATGCTTTCCTTAACAGAAGGAACCTTCTCCCCTGCCTGGGCCTTCACTGGATTGTGTCATCCCCCCAGAAAATTCCACTTGCCCCTCTTGTCCTGATTATATTCTGACTCCTTCAGAGCTCTGCTTACACAAGAAACCTTCCCTAGGATTCAGGTACTACTCCATTCCCTCCTTCGCATTCTCCTAATATGCTGTATTTTTTTTCACAGTTAAAATCATTTAAAATCAGTTAAAATCAGTTAAAATCATTTAACTGTCAGGTTCATCAGCACAAGGAATCAATCTGCTATGTTCACCTATCCAGAAGCTTTATCCTCAGTAGACTCCTGGCTACATTACCAATTTGTTTCTCAAACATGGGAAAAGGCAATTATTGTATTCTTTCCTGTAGGAAGAGGCCAGAAGTCATTGGTGAACTTGCCTTGTGCTCACCCCATGTTCCAGGATGAATATGCTTCTGGCTGCTTCCTGTCTCCATCAGACCTATCATAATGACAGAACCTTGCACAGATATTTTCTGTTCTCTCACGATTCCTTTAGAAACGCAGTATCCCTGTCCCCATTTGGAGGCCTTTCCGCTGCTGTTAGATTAGGGAGGCCAAGTAGAGGTATCCTGCCATTCTTTTGCCAAAAGGAAATTCAGATCAGTGTAACAATGAAGCCTAGAGACCTGAATTAAACGCAAAAGCAATCAGACCCAAGGAACTCGACGTTGTTCAGCCTCACACTGTCAGGGCTACTCATCGGTATTAGCCACAAAAGTGCAAATGTGGAAAGACACAAATCAATGACAAATAAGCTTATTTAAACTAGGGCCTAATAGTCAGCAATCCTTCTCAGGATGGTTCATAATATGATGTAATATAACCTTAAACGGGTGCACATAGATTGTAATTGTCAGGTTGGGGACAGTTGCTTAGCCCTCAGAGATAAATGTATGAACTAACTCCCTAGCTATATTCCTATCTTACTCTAGACTGTGTCCTGACTCTGCCCATGGGATCCTTTGGGTACACAGAATAGAAGCCCAGAGAGCAGCAAGGTGAGGAAAAATTCTCTGTGCACATGGAAACCAAAGAAGCCACCCTTCAGAGATCACAGGCTCCTCATAGACCAAAGGCCTTGGATGTTAGCTCTTAGGAATCAGCAGGCAAAATTGGCCTCCTGAAAAATTGAAATAATCACTGTCAAATCTGTGGTATCTTTATGCTCAGGTAAAAAGTACTTCAAAGAGGAAAATTGTTTCTCATATAGGTATTAAAACACTGTTTTCACACTCCAAAGAATGGAAATAGGAAAGAAAAGGCATAATCTGAAGACAAAAATTTCTTGATGATGGAATGTGGGCTAACATTAAGACCCAGGAAAGTTCTCCATCAACCTCTAACCCTTAACAACCAACCAACTAAAAAAATCTATCATATATATGAGAACTTTCTTCCTTTTGGAACAAGAATACTTGACAGGAAAATATTCAAATAATTAGAAAAAATAAACATATAAGCTACAAAGCTCCATAGAAGTAGTCTGAATGGAATTAAGAGTTTTAGCAAAAAAAAAAAAGTTTTATTGTATGAAGTTTTCTTTAGAGTTGGCCTAATTTGCACTATTTTTAGCTATACTGGGACTTGAACTCAGGGCCTCACACTTGCTAAGGCATGTGTTCTAACACTTGAGCTAAGTCCCCAGTCCTGATTTGCAACATATTTTAATGATGAGTCAAAGCTCTACTTCTCTTTTAGAGATAATATGTTTTCCTTGTTCCAAGGAAGAAATCAGCCTTGTAATTAAAAATGAACAACAAAGCTAAGGAGGATAAAGAGATAGCAAGCTACCCAAACTTTTAAAGCTTTGTGTTGCTGTCCTCATACTTACGCAGTAGTGGTTTGCATGTCATGCCAGCTTTTGCTGAAGTTCTGCTTTAATTCATTCATCAGATTCATGCCGAGCTTTTGTTTGATCTCAACCAGATGTCTTTCTTTTGCTGACAAGACTTGTCTTAAGGTCGTAATTTCGTCTTCTAGCTACAGGTAGGAGAAAAATCAGTGAGACAAAATGTCAGACCGGATGAAGAGTGCATTCCCAAAAGCTAAGTATATGCAAGAGGTCTGCATAATCTTAGCTTTGGTATCACCAAAAGTTTCTTCTACACCTATGATACTCTAATAGCAGAAGCTAGAAATAGAAGTTTTAACCTTTGTTCTTATAAAAATAAACAGTACTCCTTGTAAAATGAATTCAGATTGTGCTAGGTGTGGCAGTACATGCTTGCATTCCCAACACTCTGGAGGTCAAGGTAGGAGCATTGCAAATTCCAGGCTAGTCTGAGCTACACAGGGAATCTCTGTCTCTAAAACAAAACAAAATTCAGATTACATGGCAAAATTTGAATAAGAAAACAAAAATTAAAACCACTGTAATCTATTAGAAAATAGCCACCATTTTTTCCTGGTTTTTATGTATCCCAATTGTCTAAGGGTGTACATAAAATAGTTTTTGAACAAAATTGGTTCTGTAATACACATTTTATTTTGTAATGCAATTTCTTTCATTCATTCATATTTGTTTACTTCTGCCAACCACAGATAACTATGCTGGTATGCAAATAAATTTGGTTGGCATTATGGTTTATCTAAGTTCAAGAAAGGAGAGCAGGACATGTGTAAGGAAATGATTTGGATGACTTTTTCTTGAACAATTTCATGGACATATAACAGACTGCATATATTTGAACGATTTCATGGACAAATAACAGACTGCATATATTTGGAATCTATAATTTTTAAATTTTGACATGTTTATCTACCTGTGTAGCCATTATCATAATCAAGGCAATAAACATAGATATCATCTCCCAAAGTGCTCTTTGTAATTTCTTTCTCTCTTCTTCCCCTAACCTCTACCTTTAACAGGTACCAATGACATTCTTTCACTAGAATTGATTTAGCTTTTCTTTCGGCAATACTGGTTTTTGAACTCAGGGCCTTGTACTAGGTGGGCTGGTATGCTATCACTTTAGCCACACCTCCAGCTTTGATTTTTGCTGGTTATTTTTGAAGATGGGGTCTAGTAAACTTTTCTGTATGCACTGGTTTCCAACCTCAGTCCTCCAGATATCAGCCTCTGGACTAGCTAGGATTACAGATGTGAATGTATGCCCATCTTCTCTACAGTTTAGTTTATGTAACAATGAACAAATAAGCAAAGTGGAGCATGTACGGTTACTAGAATGTTATTCAGCCATAAAAAGAAATAAGGAATAAAATAAAATTTAAAAAAAGAAATAAGGAACTGACAATGCTATAATATAGATGAAGTTTAAAAGCATTAGGTTAAGTGAAGGAAGCCAGACAAAAGAAGTCATATATTATACAACTTCATTTATCTGAAGGACTCAGGAGAGATAACTCCACAGAGACAGAATGCAGACTGGTGGTTGTCTGAAACTGGAATTGGGATAGAAAGCAACTGCTGAGTGTGAGTGCTTTCCTTTTAGGGAGACAAAATTCATGTTTTGGAACTGGATTCAGGCTGTGGTGATACAATACTGTGTGTTCATTCACTTTGAAATAGTTAATTTTAAGTTAAATAAACTTATCCTGATATAAACACAAAAAGCAAATTAATTGAGCTGAATTAGACAATAATCATTAGATCATTAGATAATAATTATTAGATAGTTATTTAAATAATCTCATCATTAGTCTAATCTATTATCTAGTTAATGAATAAATAATAATTCATTATATCAATTATAATAATTCATAAATGTACATTTATGTTGTAAACAGAAAATGTATGATTTTGTTTTATCTATGAGACTACGTGAAATCTGTAACTAGAACACAGAAGAAATGTTGTGATTAAACTGATCATCAGTACGATGTTTAGCATTTAGTATATTACAAGTACTGTTCCAAAGCTTTCCTTTTTCTGGCTACTCTTTCCTTTGAGTTTCAGTCACTAAGAACTAAAATTAAAGTTAAGGTCTCTTTGCATTAGCCATACTGATAAAAAGTAATGAGTGAACTGAGTGAACTGTTCACTCTCAGTTCAGAAAGAACACAAAGTCTTCAGAAAGGAGCTGAGAAAGGCCCAGAATATAAGTCAACTTTGCAAACCTAAGAGACAGCAGCTTGAGAGCATTGTGTGTTCTTGGGGAATCTCACACTAAATGAAGAGGAAAGAGCCAAAAGAGAGACTGAGGAAGCTTGAACATAGGGTTGCCTATTTGATGATGCTGTCTGGTATTTTTCCTGCTCCTATTAATACCTATTTTTCTTGAGTCATTTTATCTAGGGGGCAATGACAGCATTAGATTGTTATATAATCACATCTGACATTTTTATGCCAATACTTCATCTTTTCTGAAAGCTAAGACACAATGTGGAATGCAGCTTAGTGTAATTGAAGTGGATACGGAATGACAGTCTTGCAGAATTATTGATCGTTTATTTTAAGCATTAGAAAAATTAGACATTTAAAAACCAGAAAAGCAGCTGGTAATAAAACAGAACAAATATTTGAAAGAGAACAGTACTTTCTGATAGACTGATAAGATTTATTTAAAAAAAAATGCATATTTTACTTCTGGTATTTGTAAGTCCAAATATGTGGTTAAGCCACAAAACAAGCTAATTACAGGAATGCACATGAGGCATGACCACAGTGAGCTGAAGATCAAATTGGGTCAAAAGAGACTAATCTGAGGCTGAATTCACTCAAGACAAAGTTTCTGACACGTCTTTATTGTTTTTTGGTGGTATCTCCCACCAACAAAGGCAGGCAGACAATAGACTGGCCTCTGCAGAAAGCTTGTCCTCACGTGGCTAACAGACCCAGAACATCTTCCCTGCTTCAGAGAGGATTCACCTTTAACCAGGGGCCCAGGCACAGTATCTGTAAGATTTGAGACACAGGGGCTGAGTTGTCTCAAGGATACCTTAGTACTTCATCAGGCCAGTGGTGAGATTTCTAAGATGAATCTCACTGTTTCCTGTTGTAATGAAATCCTAGTATTGGAGATAAAATATGAATGCATCTGTGATGTAGGAAGGACCTGATTTGCCGCACGTGTGCATGCATGTGTATCAGTACACAAGTGCTTGTGAAAGGGTAGGGAAAGCAGATTTAGGAAAAGAAGAGCACAAAGTAAAGTGGCCTGAGGCAGAGGGAGAATAAATAGAAATGTGAAGAGGAAGAACTGCAAAGACTTGGCTCTTCACTGGCCTGCAGGCAGACAGCTATGCCCAGATTCCTCTGAAGTCATAATGCTAACCATGACAACCCGGGGAACTTCATCTCTGAGGAACCCAAAAATAAGAGACAGGAAGCATTGAAGCCTAATGCTCTTCCCAAAGGATGAAAACATGAATCTGGGTAACTTGAACATAGTTATCTTCAGAAGTCAGGCTCCAAAAGTCTTAGAAATCAAATCTTGGGAGAAGCTTAATGTTGGGACCAAATGAAAGTGGAATATCTAAAACCACTGTTAGATTTTTTTGTTTATATTCAGGGGACATCCGCTTAACACCAGTGCTTTGTTTTCTGATTATATATGTAAAATATGCTCACTGTTGATCTTTCAGACAATACAGCATTCACAAAAGCAAACTGATATTGGTAGTGGATGGATCGAAGTATTTTATAGTAGTTGGTCTGTTACAGAGGTTGTATTGGAGCTTAAACTTTACTGCTGCCTGTGAGAATGTGAGTTTTGGCTGAGTGTCAGTTAGCTAACACGTCTGCACAGCATAACTTCTAGATACTGCAGTAGACATAAACAAGTTATAAATCATTCTTATTTTGGACCAGAAGATTATATGGTACCCATCCATTGTCTATTAAGCTCGATTTTGGTCCTTGTACACTGGCACAAGTGGCCAATCAGTGGCCACGTGCATACCCAGCTAAGGATCTGGGTTACATGATGTAGGCAGGCACTGTGCTTACCAAAGTCACTTTTGATTCTTACCAAAGGAAAAGGTCTGCTCTTCCATTCTAAAGTGAAATTACTTTAATGGCAGGCACAGAAAAAGAAAGTCACCCGATCCTCAAACGTTTGTTTGTTCTAAAAACACCTGACCTTGTGGAAGTTAAGTACAGAGTAAACCAATAGTCGCCAGTGTTTACTAGAGTCTGGGGAGGGTAAGGATATTGAAGAGATTGGACACAAAATTACAGAGGACATCTCTTTTCTACTAGAATAGTTCCGCAAAACAGTTCCACAGGATCTAAATAAGCCAAATTACAACTTTTCTCTCCACTCTTAGAGCTTTATACTGTAAAAGTATATGTCCAGCAACTTTCAGACTAACTTTTTCATTAAAAACAAAACAAAACAAATTTCTAGGACTCCAGTGAATACTAAGTTGATCTAAATCAAGAACTACTCTTAAAAAAAAAAACAAACAAAACTTTTTCTGGTCACAGCTGTAAATGATTTAGTACTTCCATAGCATCTCAAAATTAAAAAGAAGTGCATAAATAACACTACTAATTACTGTTGATTAAGTAGCACAGCCTTTCATTTTACCAACAAGAGATGGAAAATTAGCATTACAAAAATACCTTAGGAAAAAACCAATTCATTTTGAAATGTACTCATTTATTGCATTTTACTGAATGAATGACAACATAATTGAGATCTGAAGATAGAAATAGCAATAATAGGAAGATAACTACTCATACCTGAACTAATTCTGCCCTGAGCTCTTCCTTCTCCTCTTCAGAGAGCATGCTAGAGAAGTCAGCACTGGCTACTGCATCCTCATCTCTTCCTTGCAATGGCTCGCTCTCCAACAAACCTTTAGGCATAATTGATAAAACATAATCAATTTTTAAAAAGTGAATCTGGCCAACTTCTTGTAGTTTAAAGGATTAGATACAATGAATAAATGTCCCATGGAAAACCTATGAGAAATTCCAGAAAAGAAAAAAAGTCTTCCCAAGTAGGTGATGAACTCCAAGAAAAGAAAGAATACTCTGAAAACCAAATGGAAAGAAAGAAAATGGAAAGCCATTTTGACACAGTTCATCATGTTCACATGCATTCATCGTGTTTACCTGTGTGACACAGGCCTATCCAAGGAGGGTGTAAAATGTGACATTTTACAACATTTCTTCCTTAAATCACATGATCCATGTCTAGGCCATCTGTCTTACAGTATAAACAACGTGGATAAATTAACAGAGGAAAAAAAGATAGAAAGCTATAACCAACCAACCAAGATGGAATTGAAACAAACATCTGTAAAGGAATTTATAATCAGGCACGAATGGCTGAGGCATGTAATCCTAGCTACTGAGGAGCTGAGATAAGAGGATCAAGGTTCCAAGCCAGCCCAGGGGCAAGAAAGTCCAAGAGACTCCTATCTCCAATGAATTACCAGAAAACAAGGTGTGGAGCTGTGGCTCAAAGTGGTAGAGTGCTAGGTTGGAGCAAAAGAGCTCAGGGACAGCACGCAGGCCCAGAGTTCAAGCCCCATGACTGACAGAAAAAAAAAAAAAAAGAAGAAGAAAGAAAAGAAATTTATATTGAAACCAAAATTCCATAGAATTAAAAAAATAAAAATGAAACAAGTTTAATCTGAGTCCCCTAAGTAAATCTATGTCCTCATAGGGCTGCATCTTGACATTCAGGTAAATTGGTGGTGAATTCCTTCTCCTCAGCAATGTTCAGGGTAATTCTTGAAACGCAGTGCTGAATGGACAAAAACCTCCTCCCCTCAGAACTCATAACCCCAAGTGGACGATGTGTGAACTTGTCATTTGAATGTGCACCAACCATGTGAATAGGCCCAGACAATCTAAAGTTAAACAAGGAAGTTAAACACAAGTTAAGAAGACTCTCTCCATTTTGGATGTCGTGATCTGAGGAATTTGGAACAGTGATGCTGAAGAAACACAATGCATAGTGCTTTCATTTACCAGACATTCCAGAAGCCCCTTTTCCAGGGACAAACACAAACAGGAGCTCAACAAAGGAGAAATCTCAGCTAAAGAATAATTTTGCTGGTTCACACCCAGATCTAGCATTGGTTTAAACAGAGTACACACACCAAGAAGTAGCATGAACAAATATTATAATTCTGCTACCACAGTATTTTGAACATAAAGACAGCTATTCTATTCTTTTAAGTGCAATAAAGCACAGAGAATTGTCTTAAAGATAATTTCCTTAGGTCTACTGCTAGTGAGGAACTTTAGAAAGCAGGTAGGCCTTAAAGAAACTGTCAAATGCTCCCACATGCCTGCTGAACCCTTCCTTTATGAGAAGTGCACTGTGGTGACAACTCAATCCACTTCTGCAATAGCAGCTTTAATACTCATGATGATAGAGCCCTGATAACCCAGTCAAGCTTAATATTATTTCATTTGGGATTAGTTTTCAATACACAAAGTTTGGAAACATATTAAAACCACAGCAGTAATTCCCTAACTGAGAACCATTTGATGAATAGTACCTAAAATGTTATCAACTATGAACCAAGAGATGAATTTTAGGTTAAAGTACTTATTTTAATCTTGAAAGGAAATCATACATATTCTTGCTGAATCCTATCAGGCATTCTTGCAGACTAGGTAATGGCTTAATGGCTATGATTGAAATGGAACAGACAGCTATAAATTAAAATGCTTACAAATTGTAATTCCACACCAGTGGTCATATGATATATTTTTGGCAAATAGTCAAAAGTTACAAATTTCTTGTAAACAGTAAAATAATCCTGCTCCATACTAGGGGATTAAATAAATCAAACAAAGGAGAAAAGTGTATAGTTTCAAAAAGCATACAAAATTATCCTGATTTAATAAAAGAAGGAATCCAGTAAAGCAGCTTAAATGAAAACTTATCATATCCAATGAGAAACTAAAAACTGTAATATTTATTACTTAATTACATTTTCTTCATAATGCTGGTAAAAAATAGCCTCAGGAATTTTTCTTATAAAACTTCAAAATATCAGAATTGGTGCTGTGGCTCAAGTCATAGAGCAGTCGCCTTGAGCTGAAGAGCTCAGGGACAGCGCCCAGGAACAGAGTTCAAGCCCCACGACTGACCAAAAAAAAAAAAAAAAAAAAAAAGAACTTCAAAATATCCATTTATTCCCTCAGGGGAAAATCACTGAGCTTATCTCCTTACTGTAGGATTTATGATTATCTTTGAGTACACAAAATTCCCCCACCCCCCAAACTGATACAAGTCAATTCTAGAAGGATGGAAATTAAAAGTAGAAAACAAGTTTGTTAGAACTTGACTTTCTGATAAACCTACTATGAAAACCTAAGTATTATTTCTCATGTACCTCCATTGTACAACTGCTAATTTTCATTTATTTCCTAGTAACATCCTCTAATCTGCTACTGAATTATGTTTCCTGTTGCCTTGGAGTTCTAGCAGAGGCTTCAAATGCAATACAATACAAAACAATACAACAGGTGTTTTATACCATTAAACCAAGGCTTGAACCATACTGTGGAACAAAGCAAGGGATTTAAAACTGCTCTCCCAAAGAAACATAGGTCCCATGGTTTCCCTTATCTGCAATAACTAGTATATGTCTGAGACAAGCAGAAGAGGTCAAAAGCTATGTACATATGAAATGAACCCCGAGATAGGGACACAAATGATTTTATCTTTCTTGTTATTCTTTTTAATGTACTTATAATGTACTATATGATTTTTTGTTTCTTTGTATGTTCTTTCCCCATGGTATAACCCCTGTTGTCACTGTATTTGATTCTAGTGTCCTGCATATAGAATATACATTTTTCTAATTTGGGGAGGGGAAGGGAAAAAACAAAATGCTGAAATAAGGATACAGGATAACCTATTGTAATAACGAGATGTACAAGACACTATGTTGAATATGAACTTTACAACTTTGAGAGGGTAGAGGGAGGAGTTAGGGAGGTGGGAAGGAAAGGGATGGTAGGGGAAAAACAAAGGAGGGGTAACAATGCTTGATAGAAAATGGACTCATTACCTTGTTCATATAACTGTAACCCCTCTGTACAGTATCTTTACAATAAAAATACATTTAAAAACTTTTCCCAGGTCCACGGACCTTTGAGAGTAGGCTCAAGAGGATCAGGAGACAGTGGCATTGTGGGAAACTTGCATGCACAAAAAAGGATTGATAAGAAAACAGACCATACTCTCACCTCCTAGAGGTCACAAATGTCACCATAATGCGAAATACTCCAGATCTATTCCTCACATCCCCACCGCCTACTATAGCATCTCAGAGTCAAGAAACCTCTTATAATCAATAGTGTCTTACAATTATGTGGTAGTATGTTCCTTTTTTATGGTATATAAAATGATTAAGTATCTTAACACCTTTGCCAACCTCATTTTCTAAAATAATATATATATATAGTCACCCTGAAGTACCATGACAGATTGTTTCCAGAATCCAACCAGATACCAGGATGCTTAAGTCCTTCATATACAATGGCCTAGTAATTTGCCTATAACTGATATATTTTTTCTGTGTTATTTCAAATCATCTCTAGATATATTAGATTTGTTAATTCATAAAGTCTAATACAATATAGATGCTATGCATACAGTTCTTATATGGTTTAGGGAATAATGCCAAAGGGGGAAAAATCTGAACACGTTCAGTACAGCGTTGTTAAAAATAATTTTAAAACCCAATTGGCTGTCTCTGTGGGCAAGCAGAATGGTCAGACAAGGAGGGGAAGGCATATATCCACATCTATATGATTAAAAATGAAATCACATTGTTTTGTACAAAATTTCGTTTTTTCCCATCTCATTCTTTTCCATCTCATTTACAAACTGACTACATAAATTGTTCTCACTTGGCCCTAGGATGTATTAAGAACTAATTTTTCCCTCACTAATTACCCAATTCATAACAGCATGCCTGCCCGGTTGTTATGTTCCTAAGACATGTTTTCATCACTGACTCACGGAAGAGAGCTGGCTCTATCCTGCAAAATTTATCATAACATTTTGATTCATGATTCATTGGCTGATTGCAAGATAGCAGGGACACTGAAAAAGAGTGTATGTCTTGGGGACAAACAAATCTTAGAAAGAATTTTAACTCAACTCTTTCAACTTTGCAACTGCATTAGTTGAAGCCTCACATCTGTAGAACAGGGATAATAATGCTATCCATGAGGGTAACATGTGAGGGGTTACAGTTGCAAAATGCCTAGCACTGTGCCTGGCATATAATAACCAGCAAAACCATGTTAGCTCCCAGTCTGATCATAATTGAATGATTTTCTACCTTGATTGGGACTATTTTAAAAGCCAGGTGCCATGAAAGAAAAATTAGATGGCATTAATGTGTCTTCAAGAAGCTAACAGGAAAGTTTCACTGTGATGAACCACTGACATTTATATTCTAGTGACATCCAAAATAATTTCCCTAAACTGCCGTGCTCTCTTTAGTCTGTGTTTTAGTTGAATCTTTGTTGCATTAAGGGTTCACTTGGCAATACCCTTTCTGGCCACTGCTTAAGGGACTGGAAAGGACAACTGACATAGAGTGTCCTCTGGATTCCTCTCTTGAAATCTGACTGCCACAAAGGACCAATAATGGAGTAAGGTTAAATCAGATCCTGGCAGAAAGGTGTAAGTAAGCTTAAATCTCTAGAACTGCCCTAGATCTTCCTTCCTTCCTGTCTTCCTCCTCCCTTCCTTCCCTTCTTCCCCCTCCCTCCCTCCCTCCCCCCTCCCTCCCTCTCTCCCCTCCCTCCCTCCCTCCCCCCTCCCTCCCCTCTCTTCCACCTGCCTTCTCTCCTTCCTGCCTGCCTTCAACAA